GCAGGTAGTTTGAATGTAGGTTCCTTAACTGGTAAATCTATAGAGTTAATAGATGTTATGGTAAGAAGAAGAATTAACATTTTATGCTTACAGGAAACGAAGTGGACATGAGAGAAAGTAAAAAAGATTGGAAATTTAGGACACACGTTATGGTATATAGGTTGGGAAAGGAATCACAATGGAGTTGGTATTCTCGTGGACAAAATTGTGAATGATGGCGTAGTTGAGATTAAGCCAATAGGAGATAGAATTAGTATGCTCAAATTGGTACTAGGAAATAAGTTCATCTATATAATTAGTGCTTACGCTCCACAAATAAGTTTGGATGCGGAAAATAAAGTCAAGTTCTGGGAAGACATGGATGACTTAGTGTGTCATATAGGCAATGAGGATAGCATTTTTATTGGAGGAGATTTCAATGGGCATGTTGGTAAGGATAGGAAAAACTTCGAAAGGATCCGTAGTGGTTTTGGTTTTAGAGCTTGAAACGAAGAAGGAAAATCTATTTTGGAATTTGCGTTGAGACATGATTTTATCATAACAAACACATTTTCCAAAAAAGAGATTCTCACTTGATAACTTTTAAAAATGGAAGGAACTTAAGCCACATATATTATTTTCTCACCAGGTATAGAGATCGTTCTCTATGTAAGAATTGTAAAGTAATTCCTGGAGAAGTGCTACCCACCCAACATAGGTTAGTGATCTTAGATGTGAGCATTAAGCTTTGCTATAAAAGGCATTTGAAGGGAATAAAGCAATTGGCCTTTAAAGAGAAGTTGTTAGATGAGGCTACTTGGTCATATGTAGGTGATGCAAATACTATGTGGGATGCCCTGACCAACTGCATTAGAAAAGTGGCAAATGAGGTACTATGGGAATCTAGAGGCAAAGGCCCCCCTGGGAAAGAAACCTGATGGTGGAGTGAAGAAGTTCAAAAGGCTATTAGGACCAATAGGGATTTATATAGAGATTTACCAAAGCCTAAGGATGTTGAAACTTTTAATAAGTACAAAGAGGCGAAGAAAGAAGCTAAGCGAGCAGTTAGTAAGGCTCGTTCTACTTACTTAGATGAGGTATATAGGAAACTTGGGACTAGAGAAGGAGAGAATGATATATATAAACTAGCTAAGATAAGAGAAATGAAGTGTCAGGACCTAAATCAAGTGAGGTGTGTTAAGGATGATACGGATCAGGTTCTGATAAGAGATAAAGACATTAAGGAAAGGTGGAGGAGTTACTTTGAGAAGCTTTATAATGATGATCATGCGATAGAGTTTGACAATCTTAGGTCACAAGGGGAACCTAATGTGATGTACACAAGAGGAATCAGAGTCTCGGAAGTTAAAACTACACTACGGATGATGAAAAAGGGGAAGGCATGTGGGCCAGATGATATTCCAATAGAGGTTTGGATGGCGTTAGGAGATGCTAGAATTGTGTGGCCAACTAAGCTTTTTAATGAGATACTAAAGAAGAAGCACATGCCTAATGCATGGAGGAAAAGTATTATTGTCCCCATCTTCAAGAATAACCGGAATTGTTCCCGAGGGATGGGACTAATATCAGAGACAAGGTTCTGAAACTTCCAGTAACTGGGTACTACGAGAGTGATCACTAGTCATCATATGAAATTAAGACCTTAGAGAATCTATAACTTTAAATATCTTTGATTTCCTGTTAGTGAACATAGAGTGGAATTTACTTGGTTGGAAGGACTGATCACTAAATAGATACAAATAGGTGCAAATTTTGACATCATCACAACCCACTTGGTTCTTTCACTCCTTTATCACACGTAGCGGCATACCGGAGAAAAGTAAGAAATTGTAATCCCCAACGACAAAGGAACGAGCATTTTCGGGGACTAGCCATTACTCAATAAAGGAGATGTGCTAAATTGTAACACTTATAGGGGCATAAAGTTAATAAGTCATACTAAGAAACTTTGGGAGAGAGTTATCGAAAGGAGATTAAGGGCCACAACTACCATCTTAGGTAACCAATTTGGCTTCATGCCAGGCAGATCAACCACGGAAGCCATTTTTCTTCTTAGGATGCTGATGGAAAGGTACAGAGAAGTCAAGATGGACCTACATATGGTCTTTATAGATTTAGAAAAGGCATATGATAGGGTGTCGAGGGAAGTTTTATGGTGGGTGCTAGAAAAGAGAGGAGTGCATGTGAGGTATATTAAGGTAATTAAGGACATGTATGATAGGGTGGTCACGAGTGTGAGAACTGCTGGAGGCTACACGGCAGAGTTCCCCATTTAGATCGGCCTTCATCAAGGATATGCTCTTAGTCCTTATCTTTTCACCATCGTGATGGATGAGCTGACAAGAGAAATTCAAGATAGAGTTCCTTGGTGTATGCTTTTTGCGGACGATATAGTTTTAGTTGATGAACATAGGGAAGGAGTTAACCGTAAGTTAGAACTATAGAGACAGACTCTCGAGATGAAGAGATTTAAGTTAATTAGGATGAAAACGGAATACATGCATTGTAGGTTTAGTAATGCAAGTAAATAGAGTGATGGAATTTCTTTAGATGGTGTGGAGATTGGGGCTTCTAGGAAGTTTAGTTACCTTGGGTCTATAGTGCATTACGAAGGAGATATAGAAGGGGATATTCAACATAGAATTAAGGCAGGGTGGGTTAAGTGGAAGAATGCTACAGGAGTTTTATGTGATGGCAAGATGCCTATTAAGTTGAAAGAAAAGTTCTATAGGACTGTAATCCGCCCAGGTATGTTATATGGTAGTGAATGTTTGGCCATTAAAAGACAACATATATCTAAGATGAGTGTGGCAGAAATGCGTATGTTAAGATGGATGAGTGGCTATACGAGAATGAATCACATAAGGAATGAAGTTATTCGTAGTAAAGTAGGTGTAGCACCAATAAAAGATAAGGTGCGTGAAGGCCGCTTGAGGTGGTACGAGCATGTCCAACGTAGACCGCTAGAAGCACCAGTTTGTGCTTGGGAGGACATTCATATGCCAAATACTAGGAGAGGGAGGGGTAGACCAAGAATTACGTGGACCGAAGTCGTTAGGAAAGACATTCTAGATCTGGGCCTTCAGGAAAGTTTAATTTCGAGCAGAGCTGTGTGAAAAAGTGAAATCCATATAACCGACCCCAATTAAGTTGGGATTAAGGCTTTGTCCCGTAAAAAATTTGGTTGCCTTTTTTATTATTATTTTAATGGTGTTCCCCATATTTTAATAGTTTGTGAGTTTAATTATTAAAATTAAAACTTTGAGAACTAAGTTGTCATAATATGGAACAGTTCAAAGATTGTTGGAGCCAAAACCCTAAAATAATTTCTTGTCGTGTGTTTCATATTTGACCAATGTTTTTCTTTTGATGAATATACCAGTCTTGGCTTAACGTATATAGTAGCATTAAAGATATTTTGTTGTATCGTCAGGTCATACACTTCATACTATGTCTGGCTTTAACACAATTTAAATGCGCTCCCTATAAGTATTTCTCAAATTACAGGTATGCTTACTATATTAACGTATGATTTAAGTGGGAAAAATCAACTAAAGAAAAGGAAAAAATACTCAAATTACCCTTAGCAATTTGTGTCGAATATAATTTATTAAACATAAATTAATTGAGAAAAAAAATATTAAGAAAACGAAGCAAGACTGAAAGAAAACACATAAGAAGATGCCCTAATTGTGTTCACGTAACTATGAGGGTTTCTCTTAGTTGAGTTCTAGGGCGGTTAGGTTTGCGCCGCCTTTAGAAGGAGAGCTGGAGTGAAGTCGGGTCCGCCTCCTCTATTAAGGGTGGAAAGGATAGGGTTTGTTGTCGCGAAGGAGAGGGTTGAATTCATTTTTATTTATTTTTTCAATTTATTTAATTATAGTTTTGGTCATTTTGATCATATTAAAATTATTCTATTTTATTTTAAGTGAAGTAAATATTTAATATGAAAGTAAAGCTTAACCCGTTAAGTGAATAATTTGATTTAAAAAAAACATGGGTTATTTTGATATTTATATAATAAAATAAAAAAACATTTGTATTTCCACTAAACACACTGTATTTTTAAGATATTTGGGAAAAAAAACCATAAACAAGTACCTCATACGTATATCGTCTATATTTTGGGTTCACCTTAACAAATAACATTGTTGAGCAGGGTAGAATACAAACAAATAATCCATTCAAAAAAAGAAAAAAAAAAGAATACAAACCAATAATTTGCTAGCCAATTAAGAGTTATAACTAATTATATATCAGATTGAATCAGGAAATGAGTGTTCACTTATAAGCCTGCAAAACCTTCCCCAGGAAGATTTTGATTACAGCACATTAATGTTCTGGTAGTTCTTTTGGATCATTTACATGACCATTAAGTATTAACTAATTAGTAGCAGATTACAAGATATAAAATTGATATAAATATACACATAGGCGAAATGACCAAAAATAAAAAAGTAGAGAATACTTTCAATTAGTAACAATAAAAGAATAATACTATACTTACTACTAATAATAAAATAATAAATAGGGGAAAATATGGGTTTAAAAACGAAAAAACAAAAGCTTAAAAATAGGGAAGTTTGCCCTCCTTTGTAGGAGGCGATCGATCTGAAGGCAACGAACACGGTTTCCTCGTTCTTCCTTAACGGAGGCCTTTTTGTCTTTGGCGTTTCCTTATTCCTTTGAGATTCCTCTGACCCTTCTCCTCAGGTATTACACTCGTTGTTTCTTCATTTCATGGCCAGACCATGGGCGCTATATATATATATATATATATATATATATATATCTGTGTGTGTGTGTGTACACATATATACCAATATAAAATGACGTCATGTAATCATTTTGTTGTCTATTTGTTGTTTTTGACGTCTTTTAATTATTTGGTTACAAACACTTTGTTTGGGGGATCTCAGGGCCGCCGTTTGGAGGAGAGGTGGGGTTTCTCCGGCGACTTTCGTTGAACATTATATTCTTGGTCGGAAACTCCATCAATAATGGCTTCTTCTCCTCCGCCGTCTGATTCTCCGCCAGCTTCCTCGTCCCCGCCGCCATTGCCGTCGTCTTCCCCTCCGCCGCCATCACCGTCGTCTTCACCCCCTCCGGAATCTTCACCTCCGCCGCCTCCATCACCGGAATCTTCTCCGCCGGCGGCAAATGATTCATCCTCGCCACCGCCTCCGCCGCCTTCTTCTAATGATTCCTCTACGCCGCCGCCACCACCACCCTCATCGCAAACACCTCCGCCCGTGAACGGTGATTCCCGCTCGCCTCCGCCACCGCTACAGCCGTCCCCCCCTCCGCCTCACCAATCTTCGAGCCACGTGCCTCCTCCGCCGAGATCACTGGCGGCGGCGACAGGCAACACGACGAATCAGCCGGCGAGCGATTCGACGTCGTCATCTTCGGGGTCGAACGTGGTGCCTCTGGTGATCGGAATTGTGGGAGGGGCGGGGCTGTTGCTGCTGGTGGCGGCTCTACTTTTCTTCACGTGCGCTAGGAAGAAGAAGAAATCTCAACCCCAGATGTACAATATCGGAGCTCAGTCTCGCACCGGAAACAATGGCAATGCAGGTATATATATATGTGTGTGTGTGTGTGTGTGTTATTATTTTTACTCGTTAAGTTTTTTTTTATTTTTTTTTATTTTTATTTTTATAAAAAAAGAGAATTATATCATCCAAAGTCTATGTTATGAACATCCAAAATCCAAAGCGTGACTAATAATGAAAAGAAAAATGAGATTAAATAAAATGAACATGAACTGATTAAAAAAAAAAAGACTTGGGAGTCATGCTTCTTTTTCGGTTGAAACTAAATAAATATATTGGGATATAAAGTATAATAAAAATAACTCATAAAACAAATACCATTAACAGTTTGTGAAGGTTGGATTATGTTAATTATCTATCGCAGTTAGAAATAATGGAAGAAAAGTAATAACACGTGGTGATTTTTAATTGAGTTCATAGACAGGAATTGAGACTGGATTTTGGACAGGGAATATCCTAGTCCTGTCCTTTTAAGCATTGTGTTAAAATTCTTAGTATTTCTAATTTGTTTTTTTTTTTTCTAATAACTTTATTCGAAAATCCATATCTTGTAATGAGGAACAAATATAAATTTTGCGCTCCTTTTATACGTCGCTAGATATTTTGTATCTTTTACTTTTAAAGTAAGCAATGCTCTTGGATTCTATAAATAAAACTGGCCAAAAACAACATGTCAGCATCATCCTTTGTGTGTGTGTGTGTGTGTGTGGGTGGGTGTAAGTTAAGGAATAACGTATCATCGTGATCTTTATCTTTATCATTTACTAAAATTGATTAGTTTGACCATTCAAATAAAAAAAAGGATTAGTATTTAGTTTGACAAAGCTATAGGAAATACATAGATATGACTTCTTTTTTAGGGGGCAAACTCATTAATAAATTCCCGAAAATATTTAAAAGCAACAGATTATATAGCTATATTGTTAAATGTTCGTATCTTTTTTATAAAAAAAAAAAAAAAAAAAACCATGAATGTTGTTATGTTTTGGTCCATGATAAGCATCTTCATTGTATTGTTCAATTAAGGCGATAATGTCAATTTTTAATATTTAAGTGGAAAATCACTCTTTAATACAATATTATTTTTGAGTTAAAGTTGTAATGTGTTTGTGATATTTGATTGTATACTTGATGTATTCACTTTTTTATTTAATCGTTACAGATTTATAATATTGTTACATTCAAATTAATTAAAAATTAAAAGTTCTTTTTATAAGGTTTTTTTTAATGATTCTTTTGGTAAGTTTCAAACTTCAATAATCACGATAAAAGTAATTATAACATTTAAAATAATATTATGTATTGAACCTTAACATAAAATAAAGGTAACATACTAAATACGTCTTTTTTACAAATTTTTAGTGTCAAATATACCTTTCTCCTTGCTAGGTACTTCTACAAGATACAGAACACATTTGATCATTAATCCCTTCAAAACATTCTCTCAAGACAAAATAAAATATACTAAACTAAAATTTCTAAATATTTTTCAAGTTGAAAATCTACAACTAGCAGTACAATTAACAGGCTCTCTTCCCCCGCATGCATGCAGGAACTGATCAATACTATGCCGCTTCACAACGCGGCCCCCACCAGATCAACTGGCCACAAGCACCAAACCCTAACGACCACGTTGTCAACGTCTTCCCTCTGCCTCCAGGCGGTGGATCTTGGCCCGCACCCCCGCCTCCGCCGCTGCCGCCACAACCAGTACTAAGCAGCGGCGACATGAGCTCGTCCAACTTTTCGGGCCCGCTAGGCCCGGTGCTGCCACCGCCGCCGCCCTCGGTTGCTCTAGGGTTCAACAAGAGCACATTCACCTACGATGAGCTCGTGGGGGCGACCGCGGGGTTTGCGCAGGCAAACCTGCTTGGGCAGGGCGGGTTCGGGTACGTCCACAAAGGGGTGCTGCCCAACGGCAAGGAGATCGCGGTGAAAAGCCTAAAGAGCGGCAGTGGGCAAGGAGATAGGGAGTTTCAAGCGGAGGTTGAGATTATCAGCCGGGTCCACCACCGTCACCTTGTGTCACTTGTGGGGTATTGCATTGCTGGTGGAAGGAAGATGTTGGTCTATGAGTTTCTTCCTAACAACAACCTTGACGTCCACCTTCATGGTACGTACTTGCCTAGTACTCTCTTAGTACTTCTCTTTTTAAATATCATTTCCGGTGATTATTTATAATCACGTGATTATTTATAATCACGTGATTATTTATAATCACCATTAATTCTTCAATCACATATATAAATTGACATATAAAACGGTCTTACTAAAGTGATAACATATAATTAGTTATCTGTAACTAGTATTAGTTGAATAGTGATATTCTTCACAAACTTAGTACTTTGCAAGGCATCGTGATGGTTGAATAATGCATAATTTACTAAATTGCTCATCACTTTCTTATTTTAGATTGAGATCACACTATAATATCAGTTTGATTTTGATAAGTTTGACGAGTTTGTCTTCGGTCCTTCCGTTTGAAATATCAGTCTTATCTTATAATAAAGTGTAATATGACATTTATTTTGTAACCTTGTAATAAGTAAAGTTTTTATTGTTATAGGTCATTATTACATAAAATATTGTAACATGTGAGAGAGATGCCACGTTATATATACTCCATTTTTATATAGGATACATTTAGAACTAGTCCTTCCTAACTACTGAGGTTTTTGTCCAAGTTAATTATTATATTATTAATTTTATGCCGCTAAACAATCTTTTAATTTACTTAAATAAATGGCTGATAAGTCTACATGCACACTTTTCTTATTATTATCCGTGTGAAATACAAATACTTGTTACGCAGACAAGGCACGTCAAGCGATAGACTGGACTAAAAGGCTGAAAATTGCGGTGGGATCCGCCAAAGGGTTTGCTTACTTGCATGAAGATTGTAAGTTTTTTTTTTTTTTTTTTTTTTCTTGTTAATTTCTTCTTTCTCACTCATCTTTAATTTCTCTCTTTTTATTAACAACCGTCTGTTCGAAACTTTTGTAGGCCACCCTCGCATCATTCACCGAGACATCAAAACCGCCAATATTTTGCTTGATTTCAACTTTGAAGCTAAGGTATATAACCAAAATTCTAACACTTGTGCTGAGATTTCTCAAGTAATATTGATAATGTTACCGTTTTATAATTGAGTAAATTCATATACATACATATATGTATGTATGTATATATATATATATATATATATATATATATATTTGATCATTCAGGTTGCAGATTTCGGTTTGGCTAAGCTTAATCAAGACAACTATACCCATGTGTCTACTCGAGTCATGGGAACTTTTGGGTAAGAAATTAGCTCTCTATTTTTTTTTTTCTTTTTTAAACTTAGAGTGGAGGATTTGAACTCCACATTTTAAGATCGAGTTAAGTATCAAATTACTGACAGACATGCAGCTACCTCTAATCTTTTCTTTTTTTTTTCATAACAATAATGTTTCTGATAGTTATTTATAATGTTAGATTCAAATTGTAGTGAGTCCAAACTTTTATTTTTCTTTTTTCTTTTTTTAATCATATTCTAACTCTAGTACTTCTAATAAATGGGGTAACCTAATAGTAATAAAGTAGACCGTCGTAGATTTGTGGTCATTGGTCAAAGATTTAAGTGCTAAGTAGTTTTTTTAAGGGTTTTGATTGTAAAAGGTATGTACCTATTAGTCTAGTACTCGACTTAGAGCACATGAGATGAGAGTACCCCTACACATCCCTATGAGTTGTGGGTGATGCACTTAGGGCTCGACAATAAGGGTTCCTTTGGTATAAGGATTCAAAGCAGGGTGATTCTAATCATGATTCTAGAACCAGAACCATAAATCATGATTTTGGGTTCAAATCTTGATTCTAAAATAATGATTCAGAATCAAGAGTTTGAACCACCTTAAATTAAGAGTGGATGGTTTTAGAATCATGATTTGAACTAGTTTAAAATATTACATCAGATTCCGAATCATGATTCAGAATCATCCAAACCAAACACTGATTCTGAATCATGATTCAGAATCACTATAAACAAACACTGATTCTGAACCAGGATCCAGAATTATAATTCTAGATCCATCTACCAAACGCACCTTAAGTCTTTTAGTAAACACTATCAATGTCAGGGGAGCTTATTCGATTACACTTAGGGAATAATGCTAATATCAGTCGCCCCCTTCTCGAATTTTTCTCTCTTAAAAAAGAGGGTTAAAACTCATTTTCAGTTCCGAACTATTAGCTTAAATTTTATTTTCATACATAACTTTTAAAACAACCAAAAACGAGTCTCTCACTTATCAAATTATCTCGAATTAGTTTATTTTTCAAGTGATATTGAGGATAAGATAAAATTAGGAACATATATATATATATATGCAGGTACTTGGCTCCTGAGTACGCATCAAGTGGCAAGCTAACTGATAAATCAGATGTATTCTCTTTTGGTGTGGTGCTTTTGGACCTAATAACTGGACGACGCCCTGTGGACTCCACTGATGACTTTACAGAGGACAGCTTGGTCGATTGGGTTCGAATACCAGTCCTTTCTTCAATAATTGACTTATTTTTTGTTACCTTTTATTTATTTTTATTTTGGTTTCATACATAATTCATACTGGACAATTGGTATGCACAGAACAAATATTTTGATGAAAAAAAATAATATACATATGTATATATATGAAAACAGAAAAAACAGAATTTTTTTTTTGTTCAATTCATACATTAGCTAAGAGCACAGACTTGTTACACTTACACAAATAACAACAACAACAAGCCTTAATTCCAACTTAATTGGGGTCAGCTACATAAATTTCACTTTTCCACATACTCTGTTCGAAATTAAACTTTCTTGAAGGCCTAGATCTAGAATGTCTTTCCTAACGACTTCGGTCCACGTAATTCTTGGTCTACCCCTCCCTCTCCTAGTATTTGGTATAAGAATGTCCTTCTAAGCACGAATTGGTGCTTCTAGCGGTCTACGTTGGACATGCCCGTAACACCTCAAGCGGCCTTCGCGCACCTTATCTTCTATTGGTGCTACACCTACTCTACTAAGAATAACTTCATTCCTTATGCGATCCATTCTTGTATGGCCACTCATCCATCTTAACATACGCATTTATGTCACACTCATCTTAGATATATGTTGTCTCTTAATGGCCCAATATTCACTACCATATAATATAGCTGGGCGGATTACAGTCCTATAGAACTTTCCTTTCAACTTAATTGGCATCTTGCCATCATATAAAACTCCCGTAGCATTCTTCCACTTAACTCACCCTGCCTTAATCCTATATTGAATATCCTCTTCTATATCTCCTTCGTACTGCACTATAGACCTAAGGTACCTAAACTTCCTAGAAGCCCCAATCTCCACACCATCTAAACAAATTTCATCGCTCTGATTACTTGAGTTACTAAACATACAATGCATGTATTCCGTTTTCGTCCTACTTAACTTAAATCCCTTCATCTCAAGAGTCTGTCTCCAAAGTTCTAACTTACGGTTAACTCCTTCCCTATGTTCATCAACTAAAACTATATCATCCGCAAAGAGCATACACCAAGGAACTTTATCTTGGATTTCTCTTGTCAGCTAATCCATCACGATGGTGAAAAGATAAGGACTAAGAGTAGATCTTTGATGAAGGCCGATCCGAATGGGGAACTCTGTCGTGTAGTCTTCAGTAGTTCTCACACTCGTGACCACCTCATCGTACATGTCCTTAATTACCTTAATATACCTCACATGCACTCTTCTCTTTTCTAACACCCACCATAAAACTTCCCTCGGCACCCTATCATATGCCTTTTCTAAATCTATAAGGACCATATGTAGGTCTGTCTTGGCTTCTTTGTACCTTTCCATCAACATCCTAAGAAGAAAAATGGCTTCCGTGGTTGATCTGCCTGGCATGAAGCCAAATTGGTTACCTGAGATTGTAGTAGTGGCCCTTAATCTCCTTTCGATAACTCTCTCGCAAAGTTTCATAGTGTGGCTTATTAACTTTATGCCCCTATAATTGTTACAATTCAGCGTATCTCCTTTATTCTTGAAGATGGGAACAAGAATACTTTTCCTCCATGTATTAGGCATATGCTTCTTCTTTAGGATCTCATTAAAAAGATTAGTGAGCCACACAATTCTAGCATCTCCTAACGCCATCCAAACCTCTATTGGAATATCATCTGGCCCACATGCTTTCCCCTTTTTCATCTTCCGTAGTGCAGTTTTAACTTCCGAGACTCTGATTCCTCTTGTGTACATCACATTAGGTTCCCCTTGTGACCTAAGATTGTCAAACTCTATCGCATGATCATCATTATAAAGCTTCTTAAAGTAACTCCTCCACCTTTCCCTAATGTCTTTATCTCTTGTCAGAACATGATCCGTATCATCCTTAACACACCTCACTTGATTTAGGTCTTGATACTTCCTTTCTCTTATCTTAGCTAGTTTATATATATATATATATATATATATCCTTCTCTCCTTCTCTAGTCCCAAGTTTCCTATATACATCATCTAAGTAAGTAAAACGAACTTCACCAACTGCTCGCTTAGCTTCTTTCTTCGCTTCTTTGTACTTATTAAAAGTTTCAACATCCTTACGCTTTGGTAAATCCCTATATAAATCCCTCTTGGTCCTAATAGCCTTTTGAACTTCCTCACTCCACCACCAGGTTTCTTTCCCAGGGGGGCCTTTACCTCTAGATTTCTCTAGTACCTCCTTTGCCACTTTTCTAATGCAACTGGCCATGAGATCCCACATTGTATTTACATCACCTACATATGACCAAGTAGCATCATCTAACAACTTCTCTTTAAAGGCCAATTACTTTATTCCCTTCAAATGCCACCAACGAGTTCGTGGAAGGTGGTTTATCTTAGTCCTTCTACAAGCAAAGCTTAATGCTCACATCTAAGATTACTAACTTATGTTGGGTGGCTAGTACTTCTTCAGGAATCACTTTATAATTCTTACATAGAGAACGATCTCTATACCTGGTGAGAAAATAATCTATCTAGCTTAAGTTCCTTCAATTCTTAAAAGTTATGAAGTGAGAATCTCTTTTTTTTTGAAAAATGTGTTTGTTCTGATAAAATCATGTCCCAACGCAAATTTCAAAATAGATTTCCCTTCTTCATTTTGAGCTCCAAAACCAAAACCAACATGGATCCTTTTGAAGTTTTCCCTATCCTTACCAACATGCCCATTGAAATCTCCTCCAATAAAATTGCTATCCTCATTGCCTATACAGCACACTAAGTCATCCATGTATTTGATAAGCCCTTACTCAAGCAAGTGTACATTAGGAGGAAGAAACGTGCTTAGGAATGGGGATCTGGGTTGTGAGGCCTGTCTATAGCTTGTTGTGGAAGTTGTTAGTATTAGTAGCTTACTAAGAAAGATTGTAAGAGGAAAAATGTATAAAAGGGGGAAGAGTGGAATAGAAAGGGCTATTGGAATAATCAAGGAATTGTACAAATCTTGGAAACGTTCCAAGAAAGGGGAGGTAGCAGACCTTCAAAGATCTGCGGGCTGGTGTACATGTCCTGTTGCTAATAAAATTCTTCAATTGATTCTTTCTTTTCTTTTCTCAATTCTTTCCATTTGTCCATATCTAGATTTTGTCTCCAAGTTCGGTTCAGCTCTTATCATTTTAGTATTAGAGCATCGTTTCTGGGTGATTATGGCCGCCAGGAAAACGGAGGAGAGATTTGAGGCGGTGGAGAAAGAGATTCAACAAGTCAAAGCTTCAGTGGAGAAAAGAATTGGTGAATTTAGGGCTGAGATGAATCAGAATCTTGCCGATGTCCGTCAGAATCTTGCCGATTTCTGTCAGAATCTTGCCGAATTGCGTGGTCTGATGGAGGAGGAAATGAAGCGTTTAAGGCTGATGGTGAAAGCTAAGCTGCCGGTGGAGGATTCCTGTTCAGGCGCCGTCGGGGTTCAGGAAGGGGGAACTAGTTTGGGTAAGGAAGTGGGTCGCGGGTCGAAGGCCGGAGCGGAGGGAATTGAGCAGGAAGGAGTTGTGGCCGAACCTAAGGTTTTCAGACTTGGAGATGCTGACCGAAATTGTGAGGATCCGCACAAGGGAGGGCAGATCGGACGACTGCCAAGGGAGGTGACTGTTCGCGAGGAGGAACCGCGTAACGGAAGGGACGATCTCGACCTGAATCTGTCTGATCTGTGACGTAATAAGCAGATCGGCACCGGTTGGGGCTTGGGAGGCCCAATTCCACGATGAGAACGGCCGATTAGCGCCAAATTCAGCTTGGGGAAGGTGCCGGAGGTGGCGAACGACAATGAGGGGCGTTTGGATTCACGAGTTGGGGGTCAGAATGGCTTATCTGCACCGTGAGGTGCAGATCAGCGACGAACTGGTTTGGGTGAGGCTGATCTTGGTCGGAATTGGACAAATGCAACAGGGAGGACAGATCAGCGGTGTTTTAGGGGTAGAGACCTCAGATTTGCTTTTAGAGGGAGTTGGGGTTCTGGGTTTTGGGGAGTTTGACTAAAACCGCGAAGACCCGTGGTGGGAGAGGCTGAACGGAGGCGGAAGGCGGTAGGAAGGGGGCTGGTTACCTCGGGAGAGGGTGATGAGGACTGGGCTAAGATCGGTGATGGAATGACGGCCACAGGATGCGGCGATTGAGGTTGTTCTCGTAATTACGGTGTGGGCAGGGTCCATTTTTACATGTTTGGATCTAGGCTGCATAAGTACAACATTGTTGGGCCTAATTATGGCTCAATAAGGGCTGGGCCTCAAGACATCAGGGAAATTGGGGCCAATTTCAGCAAGATATGTACTGAATCTTCAAATTTTGGCCTAAGTAGTGATGGGTCTGGGTTTTCTGGTACAATTTTTAACCCGGGTGGTAGTGTTTTCAACCACGAGCCTCGAAATTTCTTTAAGTTCGGAGACACTAAGGTCAACCCTAACGAGAATTAGAAAAGGTCACCATATTCATATGCTTCTTGTGCTCAAACAAAGATTTCATATGCGAATTTCAGAAAAATCAGAGCTTTGTCCATAAATGTATGTGCAACTGTGGCTGGGAATGAAGACTTGTGTAATTAGGGTTGGGATGGGAAAAGTTGCCAATGCTGTAATTAGAGTTGGTGGGTTTATTACCCTTCACTCGGCTACAATTTCCTGCTTTTCACCTTGAGGACAAGGTGACTTTTTTGATGGGGGTGTAATTGATAAGCCCTTACTCAAGCAAGTGTACATTAGGAGGAAGAAACGGGCTTAGGAATGGGGTTCTGGGTTGTGAGGGTTGTCTATAGCTTATTGTGGAAGTTGTTAGTATTAGTAGCTCTATAGCTTGTTGTGGAAGTTGTTAGTATTAGTAGCTTACTAAGAAAGATTGTTAGAGGAAAAATGTATAAAAGGGGGAGAGAGGAATAGTTGTCAGGGAATTGTACAAATCTTGTAAACGTTCCAAGAAAGGGGAGGTAGCAGACCCTCGAAGATTTACGGGCTGGTGTACATGTCCTGTTGCTAATAAAATTCTTCAATTGATTCTTTCTTTTCTTTTCTCGATTCTTTCCATTTGTCCCTATCTAGATTTTGTCTCCAAGTTCGGTTCAGCTCTTATCAGTATTCCCAGAACTTGACTTTAGTTTCCGCATCCCATCCTATTTGTGGAGCGTAAGCACTAATTACATAGATGAACTTATTTTCTAGTACCAACTTGAGCATAATAATTCTATCTCCTATTCGCTTAATCTCAACTACGTCATCCTTCACAGTTATGTCCACAAGAATACCAACTCCATTACGATTTGTTTCTCAACCTGTATACCATAACTTGTGTCTTAAATTTCCAATCTCCTTTGTTTTCTCTCTTGTCCACTTCATTTCCTGTAAACATAAAATGTTAATTCTTCTTCTTACCATAACATCTACTAACTCTATAGATTTACCAGTTAAGGAACCTAAATTCCAACTACCTTTTCCTATCATGGGCTAGCTCTGCCCCTTGCACACGTCCATGAATGTGCAAGGACCCCCCTTGCATAATTTTCACCATATCCGGGGCCCGACATGGCGCATGGGCTCGCTTTTTCCCCCGCACACGTCCATGAATGTGCGAAGACCCCCATTGCCTATTTAACACTATACATGGGGCCCGGCATAGCGCGTCGCACGTAGGGAACGCCCCAACAGATTCTATATGAGTGAAATCCATGAGAGTGACTTATTTTTACGCTGGCCGTCAACCTACCGCAACCCTCCTCCTTTACCCGGGTTTGGGACCGGCTATACAAACGCATAGACGGAGTTCTTGTTACACTTACACAAAAGTATTTTTTTTTCATTATTGCAAACATTTTAATATAAAATAAATATCTTACTTTAGATTTTATGTGAAATTTTTAGCTTTTCACTTTGCTGCAAATATTGCAGTTGCTTAACTTTTTTTAATGGTAGTTTTGTTTGGTTTGTGCATGAACAGGCTAGACCTCTTTGTTTGAAAGCGTTGGAGGACGGAAACTATGATGAATTGGTGGATCCGCGCTTGGAGAATAACTATGTCCCACATGAGATGGCGCGTATGGTGGCCTGCGCTGCTGCAAGCATTCGTCACTCTGCGAGGAGGCGACCGAAGATGAGCCAGGTAATTAATCAAGAAAAAATTTCAAATCCTTGAGTTTGGTACACATTTTTTGAACAAGAGCATTAAAAAAATTGTGATATTCATATGATATCTTTGTAATTTAGATGTGGAAATAAATTGAGTAATAATTCATCATGTGGATTTTTGTGTGCAGAATATTGTGCAGTGATCAATAATATACTGTGAAATAGAATTTGCAATTTAATTAGGAAGTACCGAAATTTTTGTTAGTAGGAAGGTTCATTTACTAAAATATATGAATTGTTATTAATTGACTAATTAAGTCACAACTTTGTGTGAGGAAACATGACAGGGCGGAATCTGAAAATTTTCTCACAGGGGCATGAATTAACTCTAAAGTTCAATTGATATTCTGACTTTTTCCTTCACAGATTGTCAATGGATTAAATAATCATAATCAAATTATTCAATTTAAGCTTACAATACCTCAAATTGGATAAATATTAAATAAGTAAGTTGTTGAAATGGTATACTCAAATTGGATAAATATTAAATAAGTAAGTTGTTGAAATGGTATACTTATTGTGGAACAGATTGTGCGAGCGTTGGAAGGTGACGTCTCACTAGAAGACTTGAACGAAGGGGTGAAACCTGGCCAAAGTTCTTACTTTGGCTCCAGTTCTGAAATTTATGAGGCTGGCTCCTACAGTGCTAACATGAGGAAGTTAAGGAAGAAGGCATTGGACAGCCAAGAATATGGAAGCAGCGAATACGGGGCCACGAGCGAATACGGCCTCAATCCTTCTTCGAGTAGCGACGATTCGACCCATGAAATTAGCAGGAAAGGAAGTTTAATGATCCATTAAAAAAAATTAAGGATCATGAAAATTGATCACACATATCCTTTCATGCTTTTGATTTAATTCTATAGTCTTGAAAAAGAGTACCACAGGAGTTGTGTCCCCTTTTTTCCTTCCGGAAATTAATTTGCATTTTCACTCGTGTACTTTTGAGCAATGTTGTTGTTGCTGACCGTGTAGTTCCAACCTAAATTTTAGGTTATATGAACTTTGACGGAGGAGTGTGAAATGAGGAATATTGGCAAAACCTAATGTTCTCATGTGTTGTCTAAACATGAGGAGGAAAATAATTATTGGGTATTTGTTAACTATATATTATTAACATTTGTGTGTAGCTTATGAGTTAAGGTTTTATATGTATGTGTGCCTTAATTAGTTCTTGTGTGGTCATTTGAATTGCCGGGATAGGAGAATTTAACCGGTAGTCGTCCGAACGTGTTTATGTCTGGTGAAAAATATTAATTGCTAGAGTGCATATATAATGATGTGTGAATAGACCCGACCATTCTTTTAGAAATTAGAAGTTACACAAATTATAAGAGGCGCAATTGAATCTTATCAATCAAGATCGGAGTCTAAAAACTCGTCCTAAAGACTCTATCTTATCAATTAATGTGCATATAGTTAAGAATTGTGATATGAAATACGATTTATTATTTTGGAAAAACAGTTTTAGTCATAGTAATGCTAGTATTTGACTCATTCACTATAAAATAATTTTCAAAATTAGACAAGTTATCTTTTCCCGAAATTTATCTTTTGTTTTATAAAGGATGTGTTCATTCGATTAATCTTTATTTTTACAAGCCAGACGTGTTATATATGAAAAATAAAAAGAATATATCTGAAAATGATTTTTGTTTAAAAAAACATATACCTGAATAATTCTTTTTTTTTTCTTTTGTTTTTGTTTTTGGTGAAGAAAGGCAATAAAAGCGTCGTTTACAACACGTTTTCAATTTCAACAATGAATAAGGAATAGGACAGGGTCTTATCTGTAATCTTCAACAATAAAAGAATTAAGAAAATGAAACCCGAAGTCGTAATAATAGTAAAATTATGCTTAAAATATCAATAATCAATAATATTAATCAATGATAAAATAAAAAGGCGAGTAATGTCCACCATTTATTCCAGGAGGATTTATCGGGATGTAAGGGAAAAAAAAAAACCTTAATTTTAATGAATGTTCTTGATAATTTGAATTGTGGCACTTATAAAATATCTAAACTATTTGGTCGAAATGTGGTTCTATTGTAATTTCACATTCAAAAAAAAAAAAAAAGTTTGCCATTCAAAGACTGGACAGTACTAATACATTTCCTTATTAAAATATAGTCATCTGATACAATTTAGATGTTAAATAAAAAGGAAAAAGATTGAAAAATTAATCTCATTTTTAATCCCCAAACTATAAATCAAATTCAGATTAATCATAATTTTACAACAATCTAATTTTCTAAAATGAGTCCCATATTTATCAAATTGTATCCAATCAAATTTTATTCATCTGAATAGTAAAATCTAGTCTAGACAATAAAAGCCATGGGAGAACTATGTGACGTTTAGTGGGAATAGATTTTGTAATGTTATTGTTGGGCCACGATTAGTAACAAAAGAGTACCTGTCTTTTTAACAGATGAATGAATGAATGAAATGAAATGATTAATTAAGACAATTTTAACAATTTAACCATAAATAACAAAAATAAATTTAACCATAAAAAAATACTAAAAAGAAGTGATTCATATGATATATGATTTGGCCCATCAGCCCATTTTGTATTTTAAGTTGTAGTGCTCGAGTTTCCCAAGCACTTTTCCCGTCCGTAATTAAGTCAGATTCCAAGGGTACTTTTGAAAATTCAACCACTTTAATAGATCACGGATCCGTTTATTTTACCAATTTCACTGATTTTACCGATTTTAGTTTAGAATTCGATTTTTATTATAGTAAAAGGCTTTTTAAAACTATCATATTTAATTTTTTTATTACAATAAAAATTTCTTATATAAAATCACATCTTAACTAAAATTAAAAACTCGAATCAACGAACTAAACGGACTCCATATGTGTCCCGTGTCCTTACATACTGAAGTGGCGCATTCCGGTTGCTGTTACACGGAAAGCACAATTTTCCATCCGCAGAGAATCGTAGCCCTTTCTCACCATCCGAGCCATCCTTAGCTTTGGGTCTTCTAATTCATCTTCTCTGAACATACAATCTCTCTTCCAAAGACCTCCCTCACTGGCGGTGTTCCTTCTTCTCCAGAGCCAGAGAAACAAACACAACAACCGTCGGTACAAATCCCTTCTAGATCTATCTAGAAACTTCCATCTCTCTACGCCATGGCTCAGCCTCTGATCAAGAAGGACGACGATCGCGACGACGAAGGTACCTCCCTTTCCTTTCTCGATCTGAATTTCCATTTCCATTTCTGTTCAATTCTCGCTTCCCATTTTCGCAACTGCTAAATCAGCCGGTCGTTTCTCAGATCTCTTGTTTTACGCAATTTCTATGTCATTCATCAATAGATTCGAGTGAATTTGGGGTTTATCTGTTATTGATCTGGTTCGTTTTCGGTTGATCTGGGTAATTTCTCAGTTGCATCGTTCGTAAATCACAATTTAGATTTTGTTTGAATTACGCGCTTAATTTTCTCGGTTCGTATTGATTCAATGTGCTAAGTTTAGTGGTTTAGATCTTGTATCGTTTTTGGTTTGTTTTAGCTCTCGTTTGAAAATAATGATTGGATTTGTCGTCAACTGTTAATATAAACGTTGTTTTGATACAAATTCGGTATATTTGTCGGTTTCACAGCGGATTACTCTCCGTTTTTGGGGATTGAGAAGGGCGCTGTTCTTCAGGAAGCTAGAGTTTTCAATGATCCTCAGCTAGATGCGAGAAGATGCTCGCAGGTTATTTATTTTCTCTCCATCCGATACTCATTTGCATTTTAGCTATATTCTTCTGTGTTGTTCAGAACTGATTTGGGTTTATTCCGTGTTGATTCAGGTTATTACCAAGCTTTTGTATCTGCTGAATCAGGGAGAAACCTTTACAAAGGTCAGGTTTCTTATATACTGAGATCTATGCTTTTTATACGGACTAACTATAGTATATAAGTTTATCTGATTGCTTCCTTTTCTTATCGATTTATTTGTTTTGATTTTAGATTGTTTTCAGAATAACGTTGTTGTATATTGGTGATATCTATTAATATCTTTGTGCATTATATTAACAGATTGAAGCTACGGAGGTTTTCTTTGCTGTGACAAAGCTTTTCCAGTCGAGAGATATAGGATTAAGGAGGATGGTTTATCTAATGATAAAGGAGCTCTCCCCTTCTGCAGATGAGGTGAGACATTCTATTCCAGTGGACACAATTTTCTTACGTCTTTTACATATGCATGTTCAAAAATCGAAACTGACTTTTGCTTATGTTGGTGCCAACATTAGGTTATTATCGTGACGAGCTCCCTTATGAAGGACATGAATAGTAAAACTGATATGTATCGGGCGAATGCCATTCGTGTTCTCTGTCGGATTACGGATGGAACCCTTCTTACTCAAATCGAGCGATATTTGAAACAAGCTATTGTTGATAAGAATCCTGTGGTTGCAAGTGCTGCTTTAGTTAGTGGCATCCATTTACTCCAGGTGCTCTTGTTGTATTCCTTGTTGTGGGGCTGATTTTTCATATTTAGATGATCCTGTCCTCACATCCCTCTACTTTCTGACAGACAAACCCAGAAATTGTGAAAAGGTGGAGTAATGAGGTTCAGGAAGCTGTTCAATCAAGAGCGGCTCTTGTACAGTTCCATGCACTGGCCTTGCTCCACCAGGTACCTGGTTTTTTATTTATTTATATTCTACCATCTTATTAGGAATTTGAGGGGTAAGTTCTTCCACAGAAGCCCAATTCTTGGGATGATTTGACCATGAAAACGTTAGCATTCCTCTTCTAGTATGTTAGCATGTATAGTACGGAGAAGCCATAGTTTTAGTTTTTTAACTATTGATTAATGTCCTTTCAAACGCCAGAGCAATTCTTTCCTTAGTTATCGTATTGGCTTGATTCATATTTTGTCCTCGCTTTTATAATTGCATCATTTTTCCTTAGTTATGATTATATTTTCATCAAGTGCAGCGACATTAACCATATTAGATTATTATTTATCAATTGTTTTAGGATTCCTGAACAATGCATTTTGCGGCCTTTTAGGTGTTTCTTTGGTACTAAGTCTCCATAGTTTACACTTCCGAACCATTAGCAATTAAGAAACAGCAAAATGGCGAAAGTGCATTTTCCCTTTTTTAGTTTCATTATCATCTGTTTTTAGTTACACAGGCTAAACTTCCCTTTCTATCTCAATAATATCTTGAATGAATAAATTTGTATCTTGCTCATGAATACCTTCTAGGTACTTTATTACAGCTTAGATAGACCCCCGCTAGAAAAAGCCTGGTATGGAGGAACCTTTTTTTTCTGTTGAAAGTGTTTTCCTCCATACAGGAGTTTTTTTGCAATAGTTTCCTAGTAAGAAATCCGTTAATAAATTATACTCGTAGGTATCATGCTAATAGTGGATTTCAAGCTGCTATCTAATTTGCTCTGATTTCCTTTTCTTGAGTGTTTAACATTTAAGTTTAACCTTGCTTAGATTACAGTAGAAAATACATGGCTTTCTTTCTAATAATTCTGTATTCTTGAAATTGCAGATACGGCAGAATGATAGATTGGCAGTGAGCAAGTTGGTTACTAGCTTGACAAGGGGAACTGTTCGTTCTCCATTGGCTCAGTGCCTATTAATTCGTTATACTAGTCAGGTGCTTATTTAGCTGAAAATATCGTTCATAACTAAATGATGTATATTCCTATGTATCTTTTAGTTATATTATACCCATGCAGGTTATCCGAGAGTCAGGTGGCAACACACAAACAGGGGACCGTCCATTCTATGATTATCTTGAGAGTTGTCTACGCCATAAGGCGGAGATGGTTATCTTTGAAGCTGCCAAAGCAATTACAGAGCTCAATGGTGTGACCAACAGGGAGTTAACTCCGGCAATCACCGTTCTTCAGCTCTTTCTAAGCTCTTCAAAGCCAGTGTTGAGATTTGCTGCTGTGCGAACTTTGAACAAGGTTTTTCCCCAACCAATCTGTTCCCCTAACTCCATTACTTATTCTCATGAAACTTTCTTACGTAAAAATCATTTCATGACTATTTTACTTGGTTGGAGAAAATATTAAAGCAACTTGAAGGCAGAGGTGGTTATCTTGTTTTCAGTGAGTTAATAAAAGAAGATAAAGCGTGAAAGTAGGAGGTTATAAACATAAGAGACTTTTTTTTTTTTTTTTCAAATTAAACCTCTATTATATCATATTTACTTCTTGTGGCAGTGAATTTTCTAGCTTTATAGTTGTTTCTAAAAATTCCTGAAAAATTATGTGGCCGAAAATTTATTGACGAATGATTTTTAACACTTTGCAGGTGGCAATGACACATCCAATGGCTGTCACGAACTGCAACATCGATATAGAGAGTTTAATATCTGACCCCAACAGAAGCATTGCCACTCTTGCAATTACCACGCTTTTGAAGACAGGGAATGAATCAAGTGTGGATCGCTTGATGAAGCAGATTACTAATTTCATGTCTGAAATTGCTGACGAGTTCAAAATTGTTGTGGTGGAAGCAATAAGATCATTGTGTTTGAAGTTTCCGTTGAAGTACAGATCTTTGTGAGTAATACATGTTTTGTGTTTTAAATATTCATATTTTGCTGGTCTTATTTTATTTCTATGAATGAATGAAATAGTCTAATGTTCCTTGTTCTGGTTTTCAACAGAATGAACTTCCTAAGCAACATTCTCAGAGAAGAAGGTGGTTTTGAGTACAAAAAGGCAATTGTTGATTCAATTGTTATCCTCATCAGTGATATCCCTGATGCAAAAGAAAGTGGATTGCTTCATCTATGTGAGTTCATTGAAGATTGTGAATTCACCTATCTTTCCACACAGGTGGGACTTATATCAATCTTTTGCTGAACTATTTCTTTAGCTCTAGATGCTTCTTTTATAACCCTCTAATGTCCATTGCACTGTTGTAATTTTGATATTATAGATTCTTCACTTTTTGGGGATTGAAGGGCCAAAAACCTCAGATCCTAGCAAATATATCCGGTATATTTATAATCGAGTACATCTTGAGAATGCAACTGTCCGGGCCGCGGCTGTGAGCACATTGGCAAAGTTTGGTGCCTTGGTTGATTCTTTGAAGGTGTGGTCTCTCTCACTCTCTTTTCACCCATTTCAGTTACTTATGTGAGTTGGAAATGTTCATTTTTTCTGTTTCAGCCCCGAATTTTTGTTCTGCTCAGACGGTGTCTTTTTGACTGTGATGATGAGGTGAGTTCCTTCCAACAATAACAGATTTTGAGGCTTTGATACATTTGAGTTATATAATATATGACGTCACATATATCATGGGGAGTGCATGTAGCGTTTTATTATGCGTTTATTTTCCTGGTTCATCTTGTTTTCAGCTTTGGAAAGTGATATGTCTAATAAGCCCTTGCTTAAGCAAGTGTATGTGCGGAAAGGCAAGAGGGGTGAATAGGTTAAGGGGCTGTGTTAGTGATTAGTTGTTAGAGGAGGAATGTTGAGAGTTGTAGAGGATAGTGTGTATAAATAGATAATCGGGGGGGATAGAAAGGAACCAGGAAATTATTGGAGTCTTGTAAAGGAAGTCTTGGCTTGTGCTGAGCAGGGGAGATCTGGCAGTGTCTCGAAGGACTGCTCTTGTATTCATTTCTGTTAGTCAATAAAGGTTACTTTCGTTCTTTCAATTCTTCTTAGTTGAATACTACATTTTGTTCTTATCAATTTGGTATCAGAGCATCAATTCTGGGCAGAAATGGCAGCAAGAAAAACAGAAGAAAGATTCGAATTAGTGGAGAAGGAGATTAAGGAAGTTAGGTCTTCGGTGGAAAAAGGAATAGGTGAGATGGAGAAGGGAATCGGGGAGGTTAGGGCAGAAATTTCCCAAAATCGGGTGGAATTTACTCAGAACCTCACTGAGATTCGCCGAATGATGGAGGAACAGATGAAATTCTTCAGAGCTCCGTCGACGGCGCCGGAGAAGACAGTTGCTCCGACGATCGCGATCGTGGAGGACTGCGAAGCGAATCGCGCGGTGGATCGCGAGTTTTACCGTACGGGAGCGGCGGAATCTCATTGGGCGGGCACTTCGGGGTGTCGCGCGAGACGGGAAGAAGGGCCGGAGGATCCTAGGGTTCCGCAGAACGTGATTTTTCCGGCGAGAGACACTGGGTTGCGTGAGAAGGGCGAAGATTGTACGGCGGATCTAGGGTTTCGTCGTAATCTAGGCCGAGAAGAGAGAGAGAGAGAGCCTGGGTTAGCTAGGGAGCTTCCGACGGTGGTCAATGAGAGAAACTAGAATGGTAAGAGAGGTGAGGGGTGGGGTGCTCCCTGTGAAGGGGAGGCTCTGGAATTTGATGAAAGATGGAAGGGGTTTGGTGGTTGTATCCACCGGGCGATGGAAAGAGGAAGAAATCCTCATGTGGGAGTACGGTTTAGGGATGAATGGGAGGGTAGAGGAGTATTGGAGGAATTACCGGTTAATGAGGAATGGGCGATGCCTCGAAGGCGGCAGGTGGAGTGCCCAATTTTCAGCGGGGATGACCCGGACGGCTGGGTGGTCGGGATGGAACAGTTTTTCTCTATCAACCGTTGCTCGGAAAGGGAAAAATTGGTAACTTCTGGGATAGCCTTGGAGGGTGATGCACTGTCTTGGTTTCAATGGCAGAATGGCCGCAGGCCTTTCCATAGTTGGGCCGAATTCAAGCTGGCGTTACTTCAGCGCTTTCGTTCTTCGTAGGAGGGGAATCTTTGTGAGAGATTTTTAGCCATTAGACAAGTGAGTACAGTGGCCGAATACCGCAGGAAATTTGAGGTTTCGGCAGCCCCACTTCGGGATGTGCCGGAAGAGGTTTTGGAGGGGATTTTTGTCAATGGTTTGAAGGCGTAGATTCGGGCAGAATTACGGCTTTTGAAACTAGAGGGGTTAGGAGAAATTATGGAGATTGCTCAAAGGATCGAAGAAAAAAATGAGTTGCTTCGTCGTGAGGGATCGGAAACAAGGTTTTCAAGGTCACTATCACATAACTTCTCGAGGGGGGAATTTTCATCAACTCCGGCTCGATCCACACCAATGGTGGAACGACCATTGAGAGGTCCTGCTCCCTTGGAGCACACGACAACTCCAAAGCGAGATTTTCCGTTTCGTAAGTTGTCGGATTCGGAATTACAAGAAAAGAGGGAAAAGGGGGTGTGTTTTCGGTGCGATGAGAAGTTTACCTTTGGTCATTGTTGTAAGAAGGAGCTGCGGATAATGCTAGTGAGTGATGAGGATGCCGAGGATTGTGAAGAGGAAGGGCTGGTTTTGCCGAGTCCTGAGTGGGAGGAGGGGCAACCGGAACTCATTGAGTTATCATTAAACTCGGTGGTGGGACTTTCGACGCCTAAGACCATGAAGCTTCGTGGCTTGATTGCTCGACAAGAGGTAATCGTTCTAATTGACTCCGGCGCAACTCACAATTTTATTTCTTTAAAGTCTTGTGGAGAGATTGTCAATTCCTATTTCTCCCACTGCCGGTTTTGGAGTCCAAGTGGGAACAGGGGAATCGGTTAGGGGAAAAGGAATTTGTAGGGAGGTAGCGTTGAGTTTACCACATGGAAGTGGTTGTTTTAAAGGGCGACATGAGCCTTTCCACCACTATGGTTTCGCTTAAAGCCATGGTTAGGACTATAAGGCATGAGGGCCATGGTATCTATTTAGAATTGTGTGCCTTAGATGTGAACAAAGAACCGGCTGTGAATGGAATCAGGGAATCCGGCCAGCAATTGCAAGAACCGATTAAGGAAGTCCTACAGCGTCATTCGGCAGTCTTACATATGCCGGATGGACTTCCTCCTCAACGGATGAGGGATCATTGTATTATTCTTCAGGAGGGTACCGTTCCCATTAGTGGCAGGCCTTACAAATATCCTCATTTCCAAAAGAATGAGATTGAAAAGCTAGTTCGCGAGATGCTAGCGGCTGGGATTATTTAACCTAGTAGCAGCCCATTTTCTAGTCCAGTTCTCTTAGTTAAAAAAAAAGATGGCAGCTGGCGTTTCTGTGTTGATTACTGTGCCCTCAACAAAGCTACAGTTCCGGACAAGTTTCCTATTCCGGTAATAGAAGAGCTTTTGGACGAATTATGTGGTGCCACCATCTTTACTAAATTGGATTTAAAATCCGGTTACCACCAAATTCGGATGTGTAAGGAGGACGTTCCGAAAACAGCTTTCCGGACTCACGAGGGTCACTACGAATTTTTGGTGATGCCTTTTGGTTTGACCAATGCACCGGCCACTTTCCAATCTTTGATGAATGAGGTGTTGAAGCCTTTCTTGAGGAAGTTTGTTTTAGTCTTTTTTGATGACATTTTGGTTTATAGTAAGACTTTTGAGGAACATGTCACTCATTTGGACAAGGATTTTTCTGCATTGGAGACCAACCATTTATATGTTAATAAAAAAAAATGCATTTTTGCTAGTAGTCAGTTGGAATATTTGGGCCATATTGTGTCGGGGGAGGGTGTGTTGGCGGATACTAGTAAAATTCAAGCGATGTTGGAATGGCCGACTCCTCGTTCTTTAAAGGAGTTGCGGGGTTTTCGTGGTTTGACCGGTTACTACCGGCGCTTTGTGGCTGGGTATGGCCATCTTGCTTGGCCGTTGACACAGCAATTGAAGAAAGACAGTTTTCATTGGACAACGGATGCGGAAACCGCTTTTCAAGAATTGAAAAACGCCATGACTACGGTCCCGGTTCTCTCCCTACCGGATTTTTCCCAACCCTTCGTAGTTGAATCTGATGCTTCGGGGTTTGGAGTTGGCGCGGTTTTGATGCAACAGTAGCGGCCAATAGCTTATTTCAGTCAGGTGTTGTCATCTAGGGCTCGTACAAAGTCGGTGTATGAGCGCGAGTTGATGGCGGTGGTCTTGGCCATACAAAAATGGCGCCATTATTTACTTGGGCGCCATTTCGTTGTCCGTACGGATCAGAGAAGTTTTAAGTTTTTACTGGAGCAGCGATTAGTCAGCGAGGATCACCAAAAGTGGTTGTGCAAATTATTGGGCTATGATTTTGAGATCCAGTACAAACCCGGTTCTGAGAACCGAGTGGCTGATGCTTTGTCCAGGCAGCCCACGGGGTTGGAATTGTTGCATCTTACCACTTCGGCGTTCTATGACGGGGCTGGAATTTGCCAACAAATTAGGGCTGCCCTGTGTGCTAATTCCGCTACCGTGAAGGGCTTTTCTTTATGCAATGGCATGTTTCTCTACAAGGGCCGGGTGGCTTTGCCCTGACAGTCTTCTCTCATTCCGGTCCTTTTGGAGGAGTTTCATGGCAGTAAAGTTGGCGGTCATTCCGGAGTCCTGAAAACTTATAAACGGTTATCTTCGGAATTCTTTTGGTATGGCATGAAACAGGACGTGATCTCTTTCGTGGCGGCTTGTCCGGTTTGCCAGCAAAACAAGGTATCTACTTTGTCTCCGGGGGGGTTATTGCAGCCGTTGCCTCTTCCGAATCAGGTTTGGGATGATATTTCCATGGATTTTGTGGAGGGTCTTCCCAAATCGGAGGGTAATAATTCCATTTTGGTGATTGTTGACCGACTGAGTAAGTATGCTCACTTTTTGGGTCTTCGCCATCCTTTTTCTGCTAAGTCGGTGGCTGCTTTGTTTGTTAGAGAGGTGGTGCGGCTCCATGGTTTTCCTCGGACCATTATGTCCGACCGTGACAAGGTATTTCTCAGCCATTTTTGGAATGAGCTTTTTACGTTGCAGGGTACGGCCTTACATCATAGTACGGCTTACCATCCTCAAACGGATGGCCAAACGGAGGTGGTGAATAGGTGCTTGGAAGCTTATTTACACTGCTTTGTGTCCGGGAAACCTACTCATTGGTTTTCTCATCTTGCGTGGGCTGAATATTGGTATAACACTAGCTTCCATGTGGCTGCGGGAATGACTCCTTTCCGGGCTTTATATGGCCGCGATCCTCCCAAATTACTACGATTTGAGCCGGGCTCAACAGCTAATTCCTTGTTGGAGCAACAATTGCAATCGCAGGATGCTATTTTGGATGAGCTTCAAGCACATTTGTTGCAGGCCCAGCAATCTATGAAGTGGCAAGCGGATCTCAGGCCTTATTGTCATCGTTCGTTGGCCAAGTTCACCAATGAGAAACTATCTCCACGGTTTTATGGTCCCTATAAAGTGCTTGCGCGGGTGGGTTCGGTGGCATATAGGCTGCAACTTCCCGAGGCTGCCAAGATTCACCTGGTTTTCCATGTCTCTCAGCTTAAGAAAGCCATTGGTTTGGCTGTTCCAGCCCAGGAGGTCCCGCAAGTTTTGACTGCCGACTTGGAGTTACGCGTGGAACCGGAGAGATTGTTAGCTACTCGTTTTTCTTTTGTTACTGGACAGCTGGAAGTCTTATTGCAGTGGCGCCACTTACCCGATTTTGAGTCTTCTTGGGAACTTTTCGATGTCATGAGGCACCAATTTCCTGAATTTCACCTTGAGGACAAGGTGACTTTTTTGGGGGGCGGAGTAATTGATATGTCTAATAAGCCCTTGCTTAAGCAAGTGTATGTGCGGAAAGGCAAGAGGGGTGAATAGGTTAAAGGGCTGTGTTAGTGATTATAAATAGATAATCGGGGGGATAGAAAGGAACCAGGAAATTACTGGAGTCTTGTAAAGGAAGTCTTGGCTTGTGCTGAGTAGGGGAGATCTGGCAGTGTCTCGAAAGACTGCTCTTGTAATCATTTCTGTTAGTCAATAAAGGTTACTTTCGTTCTTTCAATTCTTCTTAGTTGAATACTACATTCTGTTCTTATCAGAAAGCAAATAAATTCCATCTGTTTTTTCATTCCAAAAATATTGAATTTGCGGATAAGCATTCACTTAAGGGTATTACAGTAATGGCTGCGAGTGATCTTTGTTTCCAGGTTCGTGATAGGGCAACTCTTTATATAAATACACTTGGAGGAGATGGCGCTGTTGTTGAAACTGGCAAAGATGTAAAGGACTTCCTCTTTGGATCTCTGGATGTCCCACTTGTCAATCTGGAGACGAGTTTGAAAAACTATGTGAGTTACTCCAATCTCCTTAAGCTTCTCTGCCATTTTAAGGCTGTTATCTCATGTTCTTACCATGTTTTTGTTTTTGTTTTTGTTTTGTTTTGTTTTTTTTTTTTTAATGTTGTTGCAGGAGCCTTCAGAAGAGCCCTTTGACATCAATTCTGTGCCCAAGGAGATTAAGTCTCAGCCGCTTGCAGAGAAGAAAGCTCCTGGTAAAAAACAACCTACAGGTGCTCCTCCAAGTGGCCCTCCATCCCCAGACGACGCATATGAGAAGTTGCTTTCCTCTATTCCAGAGTTTTCAGGCTTCGGGAAACTATTCAAGGTTCTATGTCTGAAACTTTCCCCTGTGCTTCACAGCACTTTCAAATGTACTTTTTAGTGGTATTGAAGTACTCGGACTATTTGTTGTTATATTTTATCAGTCCTCAGCACCTGTGGAGCTTACAGAGGCAGAAACTGAGTACGCAGTTAATGCTGTTAAGCATATCTTTGACAGCCATGTTGTAATCCAGTATAACTGCACCAATACAATCCCAGAGCAATTGCTGGAAAACGTAATGACTAATTAAACCACGTCTTGTATTTCGTAACTCTATTGAGAATATCTTTTTTTCCCCTTTCCCTATATATATGTTCCCATTTATTGACAGGTCACTGTTATAGTGGATGCTTCAGAAGCTGAGGAATTTTCTGAAGTAGCAACCAAGCCTCTTAGATCTTTTCCCTATGATACACCTGGACAGATTTTTGTGGCATTTGAGAAGCCCGAAGGAGTCACTGCAGTTGGAAAATTTTCAAACATGTTGAGATTCATTGTTAAAGAGGTATCTAGTTCTTTCCCTCCTTTGATGATGTCTATGATCTCTTTTCTCTCTCCTTTAGTCTAATTAGGTCATTTTATTTAGTTATCATAGATCCTAGATTTGTTGAGCTGTGTGCATTTAAACTTGATTAGCATTACTACACGTGCCTTGTCATCTTGGGTAAATATCGAAAGAATATTTTCGTTGTAGAAAGTCGCAGGATATAGGTCCTTGGGAGCATTTACTGTAAGCGCATCTGTTGTAAATCAGTTTCTGCTTCACAGTATGATCATTATTTACTAGAAAATCAACCACGGAGGGTAAATGCATGTTTTAATGGGGAAATCCTTGACGGAATGTATTCAAAGTGCATCCTCAAGGACGTACCCCTTTTCAAAACCGTTCTTCTTGTTGTTTTTTAGGATTAATTTCTGGATTCTCCAGGTTGATCTGAGCACAGGTGAGGCAGAGGAAGATGGTGTAGAAGACGAGTACCAGCTGGAGGACCTTGAGGTTGTTGCTGCTGATTACATGTTGAAAGTTCCAGTCTCCAATTTTAGGAATGCATGGGAAAGCATGGACCCTAATGGTGAGCGAGTAGACGAATATGGCCTTGGCCCAAGGGAGAGCCTGGCTGAAGCTGTGAGTGCCGTGATCAACCTTCTGGGAATGCAGCCCTGCGAGGTAAGTTTGATCAGTGTCTCACACCATCATTTTCATAAATGTCATTAGTAAAACTTACCCTTAGGTCTAGTTATCCATATCTAGGGATTGACTACGGCTTGAATTTTTATATTCCAATCTTTTTCTATTTCGGATTGGAACAATAGATAACATGGGAAGGTTTCATGACACTGTTTTCTAGAGCCTTAAATGAGATTACTTGTTTTATCAAACAAAAGGAGAGCTCCTGTCTAGTTATACTATAACGCAACAATTTTAACTAAGAATGATCTTGTATAAATCAAATAATACATTTATTAACTTCTGTAATATAGTGGAGTTGTCATTTTCTGAGGTTGTCATTGACAGATTTGGGATCTTATGTTATTGGACCCTTCTAAGCGCTGTGTGCAGATACTTTTCTTCCTACACAGTTTCTAGTAGATTGTTTGTATCTTCTCTGAATTGCATTTCAAGAAGCTGTTGTAATCTATTTTCCCTTGGGCTTCGTTTCAGGGCACTGAAGTTGTTCCCAACAACTCAAGATCACACACAGCTTTGCTATCTGGTGTATACATAGGCAATGTGAAGGTGCTAGTGCGGCTGTCCTTCGGGATTGATAGTTCGAAGGAGGTCGCAATGAAACTAGCCGTCAGATCTGAGGATGAGAACATCAGTGATGCCATTCATGAGGTCGTCGCTAGCGGTTAGTTGGCCGCAAGTGTTTTGTCTGTCTCAGAGGCCTTTTCATTTTCTCCATGAGATAGTTTGCTTAAGACTTACCAACAATGGAACCTGCCATTCTGTAGAGAGATGCACTTCACAAACGCTTAAAATTTTTAAGGTTTTCAGGGGGTTACTTTGCCAAGGGACCTTTTTTCTTGCTCATTGTTTACATGGTAGGGTTCATCGGAATGGGATGTCTTGCCCCCTCCTGTTACCAGTATTTCCTTTTTTTCTCACTTTAATTTTTCTTTTTCTTGATAAGTAAAATTCATATTTTCTCATTATATGTGACATTGAATTTTGAGGCAGCGCCTTGAGTTACAAATTAGTGAATTGTAGTTTTTGCAAACTAAACTCGGACCTATACAATTAATGTATTTTTTCTATAGTTGGTATTCAATCCAATAATTGAGGACTAACGTTACTGGTTATTCTTCTTCTAAGGTGAGCTGGTGAGCTCTTAGAACTAGCTAGATTATCCTCGTCCATTACTATCTTTAGTTCCTGTAAAAAATCTCTCGCCTCTAAAATAGAAAACTTAGTAGAATACTCTTACATCCTTAAAACTGCTATCGTAGAAGAGTCTGTCCCTCTTTTGTTAAGCCCGTACAATGTATTTAAAAGACACTGATGTACTATTAGACAACTTATCTTTAATATTAGACCTACCGTTAAAGAATATTGAAATTTTGCAGACGCAATTCTCACATTTTACCGAGCATGCTTGGAAAAAATAACCTCAAAAAAATGAAAAAAAGAAAAACGTAGTCAAAAAGCCTTCGGCCCGTACAGTGGGGCGCCTAGGGGCCGGGATGGATTAAAAATTCACATTTTATTTATGTTTTGCATTTTAAAATTAATATATGATTTTGAGGAATTAATAAAACAAGCGGTACCATTTTTTGATGAATATTCTCTTTTTTATGAGTATTTTTTGTCTTTAAAAAATATAATAAAATAAAAACGACGTCAAAATATTTTAAAATTTTACAGGCACGATCTTTATATTTTTCTGAGCATGCATGCACAAAATGGCCACAAGAAATGAAAAAAGAAAAATGATGTCAAAAAGTCATCGACTCGTGCAATGGGGTGCTCAGGGGCCGGGAGGGGTCAAAAATTCAAATTTTATTTATGTTTTGTATTCTAAAATTAATACACAAATTTTAAGAATTAATACAACAAGCGACACAATTTTTTCATGTATATTCTCTTTTTTTTTATCATTTTCTCTATTTTTCGTAAAATAAAATAAAAACGACTTCAAAATATTCTGAAATTTTACAGACACGATCCTCACATTTTTCTAAGCATGCCTGCAAAACATGGCCTCAAAAAATGAAAAAAGAAAAACGTTGTAAAAAAGTCATCGGCCCGCGCAGTGGGGTGTGCAGGGGCCGAGATAGGTCAAAAATTTACATTTTTATTTATGTTTTGAATTTTAAAATTAATACTCGATTTTTAGAAATTAATGCAACAAGCGGCATCATTTTTTGATGTATAAAATGACGTCAAAATATTCTGAAATTTTACAGACACGATCCTTACATTTTTCTGAGCATGCCTGCAAAAAATGGCGTCAAGAAATGAAAAAAGAAACACACTATCAAAAAGCCCCAGCCCGTGCAGTGGCGCGTCCAGGGGCCGGAATGGGTAAAAATTCACATTTTTATTTATGTTTTGCATTCTAAAATTAATACACTATTTTTATGAATCAATGCAACAAGCGGCACTATTTTTTGACGTATATTCTATTTTTTATGAGTTTCTCTATTATTTATCTTTGAAAAATAAAATAAAATAAATACAAAGTCAAAATATTTTGAAATTTTACAGACAAGATCCTCACAATTTTTTGAGCATGTTGATTACGCCCAAACGTGTACAAAACAAGCGGTCAATTGTAGCATAATTAGGACGGTCGATCCCACGAGGAAGTGACAAATTAAACAAAAAACGATTAGTAAATAATAAACTTTAGGAGATAAATAATAAAGTAAAAATAAAAGAGAATGTAATTTTTGTTGAGAAGTTTAAGTGTAAGAAAAATGTATGGGAAAATTATATAATTAAAACCGGTAAGGCATCGAGATTCCCCTATATGCTTCGTTCACCCGAATGGATTTTGATCTTTGAGATTACTCAATTAAAAGTTTCACATCCTAAACTAACAATCGGAAAATATATATTTGAAGAACATGTGAATTAAAATGTATTCGAATGAGTAAAATTCTAACTAGAAAAAATTATCTTATGAGAAATCTAAAAGCGACAATATACCGTTGGCAATATTGCAGTAAAAGACTACTCATAAAACAATACTTACTAATATATAGTATCATGCAACAATCACATAAAAAGAGCTTGACTAGATTTATATAAAAGTTGACAATAAAATATATCAATATGAGAAATTAGAAGAAGATAGAAGAAGATTAATCACTCAAATATATAAACTTTAAAGAACAAATGGAGAATCAAAATCCACTCAAGATCACTTCACATATAGGTTTCTCTCTAACCTCACAAATTAGAGAAAAATGTGTCTAAACTTAGATTAAAAATCAACCACCTAATACACTAAACAAAGCCCTATTTATAGAGTTTCTGAGCATGCAAAACGTTGCAATCAGTAAATAAAACATAAAGGGACGTTTTATCTAAATAAATTGGGTTTACAAGGCTTTAATCAGAGATTGAATGCTGAAACCATCCAACGGAACCAAAACGGATCGCTGGCTGAAGAATCCCAAACGGGTGGGACACGTGGCGCTCACTGATTCACAGAAATGAGATGAGAGGAGAAAACTGTCGATAGCTTTGGACACGTGGCGAGCTGTGGAAGGAGAGCAGCAGCACGCGGGATCCACGCGGAAGAAGAGAGACGCTCGCGTGGAAGGAACTCGCGCAGGGGGAAGGGCTGTGTGTGCCAAGCGCGCATGCACCAAGGAGCAGCTGGGCCCCACACGTCTGCGGCAAGCCAGACTTCGATACGTGGCGCAGTTTGGGACTGGCGTGGGTTGGACGACTTAGCGCGGCTCGGACGGCTGATGGGCTAATGGGCCTTTTTCTTCTTTTTTTCTTTTAAGTTTTGGCCTAAATATTTTATTTCCCTGCAAAACAAATTAAATTAAATTAAAATCAAATACTTCTACTTAAAATTAATTCCACGAAAATATTTAATTAAAACTTAATTTATTTAGCAATTATGAACAATTTAAGTGCATTTTCATGCACTTATCACAACCCCCAACCAGCTTATTCCTAGTCTCTAGCAATTCAAGCGAAAGAAAAATTACGCCAAGCTGAAAATCCAAATCAAAATAAGCAAAATCACCTAAGCAATCAAACAAAACATTAATAAGTCATCAGAAAATGCTATCAAAACTACTTTAGTCATAGCTCCAGAGTCGTGTGTGTGTGCACCAAACCGTATCCCTCTTACCATAGTCCATAACACAATAGCATAAAAAAATTCACCAAGAAAAAGTCTCAACTCCATTTACCTCACGGGTGTCAGAAATATTTTAATGCAAAGGATTTTTCACTCATGGAGTTGGAAGTCAATCAGTCAACGCTCAAGTGAGAGAAGGCAATTTAAGGACAAGCTAATAAACAAACATTAATCAAATGATAGGCAAATCACATGTCTGGAACAATCCATCACTCAAACCATAAACAAGCTTTTGGGATTTCATTCTGGTCAAAAGGAAGATCTCATAAACAAACAAAGAGCCGAAAAATACAAACAATTATACACATTTTTTTCTTTTTCTTTTTTTTTGTTTTTTTTATTTTTAAAGGCAAAAGACAACATACATTTGATGAAGCTGATGTAGTAAGGCATTCTTTTGACTAGTTGCTATGCAGCGCAAGATGTGAGTACATCCAAACTACCTACATATTGATGATAAAATGATGCTCTTGCTCTCTTTCTCTTTTTTTTTTTTTAAGAAAGAAATACAAAAGAAAAATGATAAATATTTACAACACACGGCTCAATTCTAAAAATTATTCCTAACCAGAAATCATCCCTCAAGCAAATGTCGCAAGTCAATCAATGGTGCTCCAATAATGATTCAACCAACTCAAAAGATCAATGAAAGTTCAAAAAGCTGTTTTCTCAACTCTCACAACTCACCAAAAATGAAAACTTTAAACTCGGAAATTTTCTCAACTAAATGTGCTAACAACCATCTTACCACAAGGTTTGGCAACTGCTCAAAGAGAACTTTGGAAATTATTTCTTGGTAATTAAGATAGCAAAAACTGACTCAAACCGAACATTTTGAAATCATACCTAGATAATCTCGCAAAAATTTTGACCCAAAATAACAACAAGACAAAAATTAAACTCATGCATGAATATGCTCACCACTCCCAACCCAAAATCAGACAGTGCCATCAATGTCTAAAAATATATGCAATATGATGATGGGAAAGAGAACACCTGTATGATGAACATTGAAACACAACTGAGCCTTCTAAACTGAATCGCCAAAACACACAAACAAATATAAAAGCACACAAAAAAAACTAAAAATAAAAGCACACAAAGCACACCAAACGAAACAAAGAAACAAAAATATGATACAAAAGTGTTGGAAGCAAACTTCTCAAGGTTGGTAAACCGGAGCCTCGAGAATGATCTCTTCAGCTTGGTTCACACACTCAATGTAGTGCTTCAGTCTCTGGCCATTGACTCTGAATATTCTCCCATCGCTCGGATCCTCTACCTCGACAGCACTGTTGGGAAAAACTTGTTTCACCACAAATGGACCAGTCTACCGTGACCTCAACTTACCTGGGTAGAGATGCAGACGGGAGTCATAGAGATGCACCTTCTGATTGAGCTCAAAATTCTTTCGCAGGATCTGTTTATCATGTGCTGCTTTCATATTTGCCTTATAGATCCTGGAATTGTCGTAAGCATCATTTCTTAGCTCCTCAATTTCTGACAGCTGGAGCTTGCGATTTATACCTGCAAAACTAAGATCAAAGTTAAGGGCTTTGATAGCCCAATAAGCCTTATGTTCGAGCTCTACAGGTAAATGACAGGCTTTCCCAAAGACAAGCCTGTAGGAAGACATCCTAAAAGGGGACTTGTAAGCAATATGGTATGCCCAGAGAGCGTCAAGAAGACGTGAAGACCAATCCTTACGGTCAGGATTTACCGTTTTTTCCAAAATCTGTTTAATCTCCCTATTTACCAACTCAGCTTGACCATTAGTCTGTGGATGATAGGCAGTTGTAACCTTATGAATGACACCATATTTTCACATGAGAGCTTCAAAAGATAGGTTGCAGAAATGAATGCCTTGATCACTGATGATAGCACGCGGAGTACCAAACCTAGATAACACATTCTCTTTCAAGAACTTCACAACTGTCGTATTATCATTAGTTCGACACGGCACAGCTTCTACCCATTTAGAAACATAATCCATAGCAAGAAGAATGTAGAAGTAACTAGAAGAAGGTGGAAAATGTCCCATAAAATCTATCCCCCAACAATCAAATATCTCTATCACAAGAATTGGGTTCAAAGGCATCATATGGTGTCGGGACAGGGCACCTAACTTTTGACATCCCATACAAGAACGACAAAACTCATTAGTGTCGTTGAACAAAGCGGGCCAATAAAGACCACACTGTAAGATTTTTGCGGCAGTCTTCTTCACAAAGAAGTGACCACCACAGGCATCGTTATGGCAGAAGTTCAAAACACTAAGAATCTCATCATCTGGAATGCAACGCCTCATGATTTGGTCAGGGCAGTACTTGAACAGGTATGGATCATCCCAAAAGAAATTACGCACCTCGACCAGAAACTTGCGTTTATCTTGTGCACTCCAATCAGAAGGAAATTTGCCGGTCACCAAGTAATTGACGATGTGAGCATACCAAGGTAGCTTAGTGACCGCGAAATGATGTTCATCAGGGAAGTCATCTCGAATGGCAGAGGCATCAGTAAAATCTTGAAAGTCCAATCTAGACAAGTGATCTGCCACAACATTCTCAACACCTTTCTTGTCCTTAATGGTCAAGTCAAATTCCTGTAACAGAAGGATCCACCAAATTAATCGCGCCTTAGCACCCATTTAAAGGAGATACTTGAAGGCATAATGATTTGTGAAGACGGTAATGGGTGAACCGATCAAGTATGCACGAAACTTGTCAAGTGCGAACACTATAGCGAACAACTCTTTCTCAGTGGTTAAATAATTCATTTGAGCGCTGTTAAGAGTTCGGCTAGCGTAGTACACAACAAAGGGCTTCCCCTCCCTTCTCTGACCTAGGATAGCTCTAACAGCATGGTTGCTTGCGTCACACATGATCTCAAATGATAAACTCCAATCTGGTGACTGAATGATGGGGGCGGAAGTCAATTTTGCCACAAGCGTTCGGAAAGCATCCTCACACCTAGGCGTCCACTCAAAAGCGACATCTTTGGCTAGGAGGTTACACAATGGATGAGAAATTGTTGAAAAATTCTGTATGAGCCTCCTATAAAAACCAGCATGCCTTAGAAATGACCGAACTTCTTTGACAATCCTTGGAGTGGGCAAATTAGAGACGAGTTCAAGCTTAGACTGATCAACCTCAATCCCCCTCTCTGAAACAACATGCCCTAAGACTATGCCTGATGGTACCATGAAGTGACACTTCTCCCAGTTAAGCACAAGGCCTTTCTCTTCACATGTCATCAAAACAGCTTCTAAGTTTAGAATGCACGAGTCGATGGAGTCGCCAAAAACGGTCAAGTCATCCATGAACACTTCCATACACTTCTTGACCATGTCACTAAAAATGCTCATCATGCACCTCTGGAAGGTGACTGGTGCATTACACAGTCCAAATGGCATATGCGGAAAAGCATAAGTTCCAAAAGGATAGGTAAAAGTAGTTTTATCTTGATCCTCTAATGTGATCTCGATCTGATAGTAACCTGAGTAGCCATCAAGAAAGCAATAGTAAGGATGTCCAACCACACGTTCTAGAATTTGGTCGATGAATGGAAGCGGGAAGTGATCCTTGCGGGTGGCGGCGTTTAGCTTTCAGTAGTCAATGCACATGCGCCAACCCGTCACAGTCCTTGTGGGAACAAGACCCCCTTTCTCATTTTCCACCATTGTCACCCCTAATTTCTTGGGCACTACCTGAGTTGGACTGACCCACTTGCTATCGGCAACTGGATAAATGATTCTTGCATCAAGAAGCTTCAAGACCTCATTCTTCACAACTTCTTTCATCGTCGGGTTCAGTCTCCTTTGGGGATCCCTTCGTGGATGAACCCCGTCTTCCAAGTTAATGTGATGGGATAAGGGGCTAATACCCTTAATGTTAGCAATCGTCCAACCTAATGCTGATTTGTGTTCACGCAGCATGTCAACTAACTGCTGCTCTTGGATTGCATCAAGTTTAGATGAAATGATAACAGGAAAGGTATCACCAGCTCCCAGGAAGACATGTTTCAGATCCTCAGGCAGTTGAGCCAGCTTGAATGTTGGGGTCTCTTCGGTGGATGGTTTTGGCTTTTTTTTCTTTCAAGGTAGCTCTTCAAAGCGTGGTTGCCAAAACTTAGTTCATTTGCCTTATGAGTCTTTGAAAATGGCAACGTTGCTGGCCAACTCACAAGGACCAGAACTCTCAGATTCAGAAATACGGAGGAAATCGTCAAGAACATTAGAATTGCTAGACAACTGAACCTCTTCCGAGACGAGTGTGTCAATTAGAAATGTTTGGTGACACTCGTCATCATCACATGGCTGCTTTGCAATGTGAAAAACATTCACCTCCAAAGTCATGTTCCCAAAGGATATCTTCATCAGACCATTCCTATAGTTGATGAGTGCATTGGCTATATCGAGGAAAGGTCTTCCGAGGATAATGGGAATCTTGAACTCCATACTCACCACGGATCGAGTATCCAAGACTAGAAAGTCAACAGGGTAATAGAACTTATCAACTTGAACCAAAACATCCTCAACTATCCCCCGATGCTTCTTGACTGATCCATCAGCCAGCTGCAGAACCACAGACATGGGCTTAATTTCTCCAAGATCAAGTTGCGAATAGATAGAATATGGCATGAGGTTAACACTCGCTCCTAGATCAAGCAAAGCTTTGCTGAACTCATGTGTCTGACAATAAATTGTGGGACAACCGGGATCCTTGTATTGGGGCGGTGTTTTCTAGTCGATCACCGCGCTTACCTGTTCTGTCAAGAATGCTGTCTTCTTGACATGGTGCTTCCTTTTGATAGTGCACAGATCCTTGATAACCTTAGCATAAGCAGGCACTTGCTTGATAACATGAAGCAAAGGAAGATTAATCTTCACTTGAGTCAAGTGCTCTAAGATCTCACTTCGGTGTTCCGGTACTTTCCCAGTTGGACGCAGAGCTTGGAGAAAAGGCACATTTACCAAAACATTCATTGGCTCATCTTTTTCAGGGACAACTTCCTTACTACTTGAAGTGGTGGCACTCATCCTTCACAGTTTTGTCAACTAGAATACCAACTCCATTGCGATTCCCTTCCTAACCTGTATACCATAACTTGTGTCCTAAATTTCCAATCTCCTTTGCTTTCTCTCCTATCCACTTCGTTTCCTGTAAGCATATAATTTTAATTCTTCTTCTAACCATAACATCTACTAACTCCATAGATTTACCAGTTAAAGAACCTACATTCCAACTACCGAAACGAATTTTCCTATCATGGGCTAGCTCTGTCCCTTGCACACATCCATGAATGTCCAAGAACCCCCCTTGCATATTTTTCACCATATCCACACGTCCATGAATGTGCAAAGACCCCATTGCCTATTTAACACTATACCCGGGGCCCAGCATAGCACGTCGCACGTAGGAAACGCCCCAGTAGATTCTATGTAAGTGAAATCTATGAGAGTGACTTATTTTTACGTTGGCCGTCAACCTACCGCAACCCTCCTCCTTTACCCGGGCTTAGGACTGGCTATACAAATGCATAGGCGGAGTTATTAATAAATTTTTATTTTTCTTCTTTTATATTCTCCTATGTTTCTAATCCTAATAAACTTCAACATGGTTTGTTTACTTAACAGCACCACCTAGACATTTGCATCTTTTATACTACTAGCTAAACTCAAGAATGCCTAAAATTCATTTTTGTTAAGAAAAAAGGAAACGAAAAAAGTGCAGTCCTATCTTTGTTCAAACATATGCCGCTTGCACCCTTAAAATTGTCCCAAAAAATTCAAATTATCAACTTGTATGTCATTTCCCAAAAAAAATTGTTATGTTTCCCTTGACAAGTGATCACGTAAGTAAAAGAGCATGCCAAAATGTCTCCAATTAATATTTCAGAGGAAAGAAAGCTGTATTACTATTCGTCCTAAATCAGGGTACACAAGATATGCAATTAACATTGAGCAGAATAATAAAACCATCGGACAATGCCAAGCAATCCAGATATGGGAGAATCCATACGACATCATACTTCATACAATATCTATTGAGTTCAGGTTTAACAAGTCATAGCAGATTAAATAAGTTACAACATTGTGATTGATACAAATTTTCCACATAATAAAAGTTATTGACACTTCAAGCCTTTTAGCGTGAATCTTCTTCAAGATTCTTCGCATTACATTTATATGATCATGCAAAAACCCTTTTTGGATCATATCCTCAGAAGCTTGAGAGCAACACCTGTTCTTCCGACCTTTATGTTGCCTCCTCCAACCAACGTGCAGTAGGAAACAACATCTTGTACAATAATACCCTTTGATGTCATTTGTTCAAAGATCTCTTGTGCCTTATCTATTTCAGCTTGCAAAGAATACCCCTTAATCAATATGCTGTAAATTATCGCATTCCCACCCGGCTCTTTGTAACGTTGAATAAATTCTTGAAATAGTTTTTGGGCCTTATCCATCATACTTTTGTCAGAAAAAGCATTCAAAAGGCATTCAAAAGGCCACCTAGAGTTATCGTATTAGGAAATACATCCTAAATCACCATATAATCACAGAAACTCTATACCCTTTTCAGTTGACCGGAAAGGCACAATCCATTAATTAATGAACTATATGTGACGATATTTGGACATAAATCTCTTCGGATCATTTGGCTAAACATAACAAGAGCTTCCTGCATCCTTCTCTCTTTGCAAAGAGCATCCACTAGAATACTATATTGATCCTTCATTCTCTCAAACAACTTGCCTGCACCCTTCTCCCTTTGCAAAGAGCATCCACTAGAATACTATATTGATCCTTCATTCTCTCAAACAACTTGCCTGCACCCTTCTCCCTTTGCAAAGAGCATCCACTAGAATACTATATGTTATTACATCCGGGGAAATATCTCGATCCTTCATTTTCTCAAACAACTTGATGGTTTCACTCCATTGGCTTGAATGGCACAATCCATAGATTAAAGAGTTGTAGGTTCTTATAGTAGGTGAGATTCCACTGTCGAGCATGTTCACAAGGAATCTCATAACTTCTTCCCAGAAACCAAATTTGCATAATCCGTGTATCAAAGATGTATACCTCACAGCATCCGGTAGATGACCATAGTTGATCATATCTTGAAACAAACTCAAGGCCTTATCAATCCGTCCTTTACACAAACCGTCAACGATCGCATTGAAACAATGTCGATTAGGTTTAATCCTCTGATCACTGCACATTCTCTTAAGCAACTTAAGTGCCTTCCGAGTTTCTCCAGCCTTACAAAACCCACTAATGACAGTCGCATAAAAGACCTCATCATATATGGGCTCCTTCTCTTCTATTTTCCGGAAAAACTCTGTTGCCGCAACCATCGAGCCATCGTTGCAAAGCCCATGAAGCAGAATACAGTGTATAACCATCTGGGGCCATTTTTAATCATAGTTGCTGTTGTGTAAAAAAATGTGGCGGGCGCGTGGGCAAAGTATACCGCGATACGTGGCATTGATTAATCCCATTAAGCAAGAAACGCTCGACGCTTGCAGACTCCTCATACCCCGCTGCGAAGGCCCAAGGACGAAGTCCAAGATAGGGCGACGATCCTTTGTGGCGTCGACCAATTGCGCTGTCGACGCTAAGGGATGAAGATCTCTCGACCGCAGAAAGGGCTATCGAAGAAGGTAGTTGGGCTAAGAAGTGCTGACGACGAGAGGAACGTCCTTTAGAGAACATAACGGGTTACGTGCAGAAGTGGAGGTGGTCTGCAAGCATTAATTGCGAGCTGTCAGACCGCTCCCACATGGGACATAAAAGTATTACGGGGAAGCACAGAGCCGTAATAGAAGACTAATTAGCTGAGTGAACAGTGCTAATTAGTGGGCTACGTCTGGGCCTACCGGAGGAGAGCACTTGAGTGCTTCTAGCTGTGAAGGAAACACCCTGGGTGAAGGAAGCCCAATATAAAAAGAGAAAGACCCCCAGCAAGGGGGGTTCAGAAAAAACTCTGGCTGAGAACTAAAAATTGTAACTTACCCAAATAAAGAAATATAAGATTACAGTAGATGTAGTTCTAAAATTTATAGAGTAAACCACTATAAATTTTTTAGCGTCATTTATTCTTAACAAATACACACACGGCCGATAACCGAGGAAAAACTGAAAGGTAATCCAACCGGTTTTTTATTAGCAAAATTTAACCGTCAACAGTTGCTAAAACAGAGAAACTAACTTCACCTCCTTCAAAGCTCAAACAATATTCATCGTACAAACATCGGGCTGAAAACCATCACAGCCCATCATCTCTTTGTACATCGAGACAACAAGGGGAATGGTGATTCTTCTTGGAAAGCGCACCAAGCAATTGATTAAAAGTCCAAATAGAGGCAATGGGTCGCATTTGAATCATGAAATTCAAATAACCCAAAGCTTCTTCTACTGTTAGGTTTTCAGATCTACATCGTGTTTTGACCGATTTCTCCAAACGGGGGGAAATGAACCAATATTCCCACTACTACCAGAAGCAAAACATCGAAATTGGAATCTGAAAAACCCAAAGAGAGAAAAGATAGAAGAATTACCAAGAACCCTAGAGGTCAGTATTTGGGTCTTCATCGTTACTGAGGCACTACGGATGCGATTTGAAAGAATACGTAGCTGGGCGTATGATTTTAAGGCCGATGGGTCACGACACAAACTTTATGGGTTAAGGTTGAGAAAAAAAAATTATATAATAATTAAGGTCCCGTTCATTTCGCTGATTTGAGTTTAGAATTCAAGTTTTACTACAGTAAAAAGCTCTCACAAACAATCGCATCTAACTTTTTTGCTACAGTAAAAAGCTCTCACATAAAATCACATCTCAACTCGAATTAAAAACTCGAATCAGCGAACTAAACGGGTCCTAAGTCAATTTAAAATTAATATGAAAAATATGAGTTAATTTTAAATTTGGCCCGCTTAATCTAAACGCGATTTAAAATTTATAAAAATTAAAAAATATATGTATTTTTTATTATATATTTTTAATTTTATTATGAACTTGTGATATCATAATAGTTATATTCAAAATCTTATAATATTATTTGCTTAATTTCAATTGATGTTATTGTATTTTAATGTGTTATAAATTTTAAGTTATTTTTAATATGTAAAAAATTAAATAAAAATATATAATTTTTGTGTTACGGATCATTTTTGTGTCGTGTCGTATCAATCTGTAAAGTAATTGTGTTGTGTTTATGTTATAATTTTTAAAAAATTTCGTGTCACGAATCATATTCAAATTAACTGTAAATTTAAAAAAAATGATTAAAATATAATACGAACACAATATGTGATAAATTATCACATTGTATGAATTAGATCCCATCTGCTACTGCTAGCCCGTTTATATGTCTAATATAAATAGCTGGGTGTGTTTTCCTTTAAAATAAAATAAAATTTAAAAAAGGGCGTGCAAAAAGATACGGAGGGTTGTATAAAATTGGAAAATGAAAATATTATATTATGGTCCCCACCACAAGAAAAATGAAAATATTATTTTTCCCCTAACTTTTGTCTTCTTGTAAAAATAAAATACTGATATACATGATTGTGTATATGAGAAAGTTGCACCAAATATAAATTTGGAAGTGTCTAATAATGTACTGATTAAGTTGTGGAGGTGATATTAGCAAAATATTTAGTTGTAAGTGTGTGTTAATGCGGTTACATTTTTATATATTCATGATGTTCATAAAAATTATAAGATCTTTTTCGGTACGTTAATATATCAATATGTCAAGTTTTATGTCTATTAAATCTATAAAAAATCACATAAAAAATCAAAAAATACGCATATTTAACGGTTATAAAAACTTAATCTATCAATATATCAGACATACTAAAAAATCTCTGAGAAATCATATAGAAAAATGAAAATATTATTTATCCCCATTAACTTCTTCTTCTTTTTTTGTAAAAAGAAAAATCAATATACAAGACAAGAAATATAAAAACTATGCATCGTTCATTTTATTGATTCGAGTTTAGAATTCGAGTTTTGTTACAGTAAAAAACTCTCAGAAACAGTCACATCTAACTTTTTTGTTACAGTAAAAAGCTCTCACATAAAATCACATCTTAACTCAAATTAAAAACTCAAATCAGCGAACTAAATGGTATGTTAATTTTATTCCCTAGAAACTCATTCAAAAAACATCACTTTTAAAAAAATCCAAATAAAACTTAGGGCTTGTTCAGTTACATTTTTGAGTTATGGTAACTTGAGTGTAGATTTTGAGTTGAATTTGAGTCATAATTTGAGTTAAAGTTGTAACCTGAGTTTGTGTTTGAATGTGCACATTTGAGTTATGATTTGAATTGAGAATCTATTTGAGTTTGTGTTTGAGTGGGTCAAAACTTAAATTTATATGTAGATAATATTTTAATAAAAACTCAATGGTAATGAAAAATTTTAGTAGGATATATGGGTGTGATTTTACTCGTCTATTCATTGTGAACGCATAGAAAAAAAATCATCTTAATCGGAATTAAAACGAAAAAATTATGACGTTTTTAAAAATAGAAAAAATAATGTTTATTAACTTAAATTTGAGTTTAAGAACTTGAATTGAAAAGAAAATTTAAACTCAAATTTAAACCTAAAACTTGAATTAAAATTTAAATTCAAACTCAAATTTTACAAACGAATATTAACTTAAATAAAATTTACTCCAAAAAAAGAAGTCGTACAACTCAAACTACATTAGCCCAAAAACCTTTGCAAACAAGAAAAAACAAAACGAAAATTAGAAATATTCCTCAGCGAAGGATGCTCTCTCTCTCTAATAATCCAAATAGACCCCGACGAGGGCAGTACAATACTTAAAAAAAAAATAAATAAATAAATAAAGAAGGAAAAAACAAACAATAAATAAATAGAAAAAACAGAAGGACGTAGAAGCCCGTGGCGAGAAGCCAAAAAACTGTCTTCGTAGTTCTCTCTCTCTAGACAGTGATTGATCTCTTTTGCTTGTATTGTGTATTCCTCTGTCGAGAGAGAGAGAGAGAGAGAGAGAGAGAGAGATGGGTGGGTGCTGTCCGCCGATGGATCTGTTCAGGTCGGAGCCGATGCAACTGGTTCGGCTCATTATTCCCATCGAGTCCTCTCACCTCACTGCCTCTTACCTCGGCGATCTCGGCCTTCTCCAGTTCAAAGACGTAACTTCCTTCCGACTCTCTCTCTCTCTTCCCACCATTTCTCCTTTTCAATTGTGCTTTTTTTTTTTATGATCTAGACTGGTTCTGTGTGCGTGGAATCGCGATCTTTTTTATTTATTTATTTATATTAATTTTGGGTTTTGGTTTTGGGAATTAGGGTTTTAGGTGGATCCCTGGACTTTCAATTGTGCGGTTTTGGTTGGATTGGGAGAGGATTCGAATGAGAAATTATTAGAGAATTTGTTCGATTTCAATTCTGATGGATCGTTGCCATCTCTTTTCGAATTTCGGTATTGGTGGTATCAGATATTTGGGCAAATTAGGTGTTAGTTTTAGGTTTCCGGTGTTCAAATTTTAGGGTTTTTGGAGCCTTTTGCGATTCCAGAGGCGAGAGTTTGTTTTTTGAACGGGAAAGGAGCTAGCTTTTTGGTTAGGGCAATAATCAATTGAAAATCTATTGTGCTGGTGTAGGAAAAATTTTGCTTGCAATGAGGAGAAAATATCACTTTACATGCCGAAATCAGAATTTTCATGAACTTGCTTAGGAAAGGAGAATTAGAGACTTTCAAGTTGTTTTGCTAACTAAAAGTGACTCCTACAAAATTATGCTATTGGCAATCTCAAAGGAAAAGGAAAACGCAGAAAATGCATTTTCATATTTTGGATACTTCTTGACCCATGTTGATGTGGAAAGGATGACGAGATGAAAAGCATGAGCTAAGAAACACCAGAAGTTTATCATGTTTCGGACAGTGCATGCATTGACATGCTTTCTTTGTGTTTATCTTAATTTCTAATCGATGATATGTTGGTTTGAGGATTTTCTAGTTTCTGGCACCTAACATTTTATACTCTATTTCTTTCAGCTCAATGCAGAGAAGAGCCCATTTCAGCGAACTTATGCTACTCAGGTGCATTTATGTCCTGTACTTTTAGCGATGGCATTTATATTATTACACCATAGACATACATGTGAACTTAATTATTTACAAATTTCATGAAGGTCATATTGTTTTTTTTTTTCCTTATTTTATCTGGGAGAAAGTTGAAGTTTACTGCTGGTAATATAAAGAATAACTAGTTTGGTAAGGAAAGTTCACAAAGAATAACTAGCGATGGCATTTATGAACTCTGTGCGTTTGTATATGTGAATGATGAAAACAAAATACATTATTGAGTTATTCTTTTCTATTCTAACCAACTATTGAGGCTCGACCTATTTAAGGGGACTTCAACTGGCAAGCCTCCAATGTCACTTGATTTTTTTTTGTTTACATTTGTCATTATGTATTTTTAGAATGATTTTAGTGTTGTGAACCTTTCAAAACAATTATTTTTGTCATTGTATTGATTTATTCATTTTCCAATAAAGATTAAAAGATGTGGAGAGTTGGCGCGCAAATTACGTTTTTTCAAGGACCAGATGTTGAAGGCAGGTTTCTCTCCAAAATTGTCCACAACAAGAGCTGATATCAGTTTGGATGACCTAGAGGTAACAAAGAGTTCAAGAGTCAAGACGACGTTTACTTGGAATTTTATAATTGTTATTTTCTTCCGTTGTGTATCTTAATGTCCGTTTCTGTGGCATGCTAGGTTAAACTTGGCGAACTTGAGGCAGAGCTGATTGAAATGAATGCAAATGGCGAAAAGTTGCAACGTGCTTATAACGAACTTGGAGAATATAAGCTTGTCTTGCAGAAGGTTATGTCTTCTTTGACATTCTTGACTTACAAATTGTCTTTTTAGTTTCGTCTTCAAGGATGAGATGAATGGTCATCTATTCTCTAACACAAATATGCTTTAGTAGGAAACATTTGATTTTGAGGAATGACAAGGATGACAAGATAATATGGAGGACTTTCCTTCCTTCTTAAATTGAAGAAATCTAAGCCCCCGTTTGGTTCGCTAGTTTGAATTTTGTTGATTTGAACTTTTTGATTTGAACAGAAAAATTCAAACTCTATGGTTTAAATTGTAGTTTGAATTAACATTTGTCTGTGTAGTTAAAGTTTTAATTTGAACAGGGAATAAAATTCGAATTTGTGTTTGGTAGGTGTGAAAAGCATATAGAGTGGGCACCCTTTTACTGTTCAAAAATGGTTTGAACGATTGAACTTCAGAGGAGAGCTAAACTCTAAGTTGGACCGTTCAACTAATTCAAACTGCATGCTTACCAAATTTCAGTTCAAACTGTGCTCACTGTTCAAAATGAGTTGAACTAAACTAAACCAATGAAACAAATGGGGGCTAATTGTTTCCATTGTTTTTTTAACTTGATGATGAGATGGATTCAATTTCCTGATATGAAAACACTCTCTTGAGATGAAGTTATAACTTACAACATGTATCAAACTGACAACTATTGTTTTATGCCTTTCAGGCTGGTGAGTTTTTTCATTCAGCTCAAAGCAGTGCCTTGGAGCAGCATAGAGAATATGGATCGCGTCTAACTGGTGAAGAATCACTGGATATACCTTTATTATTGGACCAAGTACGACCTCACCTGTGATTGTATTTCCTAGTATTTACCACAATCTTCCACTTTCATTGATTATAACTGTTTTATATTTGGCTTTTCTAATAGGAAATGTCAATTGATCCATCAAAGCAAGTTAAGCTGGGGTTTCTCACTGGCCTTGTTCCTAGGGAAAAGTCTATGGCATTTGAGAGGATTCTATTTCGTGCTACTAGGGGTAATATTTTTCTGAAGCAGACTGTAGTAGAGGATCCGGTCACTGATCCCGTTTCTAGGGAGAAGGTGGTTAACATTCTTTTCCTTTTTAGTATTTAATTGTGAAATAAGATGAGCAAATGTGTTTGTGTGTGTGTATTCTTTTTTACTCTATTTCTGTGTCAATCCTAATTAAAAGTATTTGATACTCTTTATTTTCTTTTATCAGAGAATTGTGAACAGAACTCATCATATTGATTGATTTTAACCTTCCAGCATCTTTGCCTGTTTGCAATTTTTTTGGACAGAAGTGAAGGCACTTCTTGACTTGTATTAGTTGTTCTATAGCAGTAGTTGATTTGTATTAGTTGTTCTGTAACCGACCTCCTTCCTTCTACCCATGACGCTTTATTGAAAACGTATATAAATTTCTCTCTATGCTGAAAGGTTCCTATTGGTTTCATTTATCAACTTGGCATATTCTATTTACAGGCATACCTAGCTACAAATACATTTTCATCAGCATGTACTGTAAACACTCAGGCCCTATTCTTTTCAAAATTTGAATCACAATTCAAACCTTTTGCTACAGTGTTTTCTCTCACAAAAATTCAAATTCTACTTTTTTACTACAGTGTTTTCTCTCACATAAATTCACTTTTCAACTCAAGTTCTCAACTCGAACTCGCGAAAAGAATGGGCCTTAAAAATTACATGGATTATTTTCTCAATCCAATTCTCTCTCTTCAGATATATTATAAATATAGTTGTAAGTGAGAGAGCCAAGGTTTTTCCTTTCTTTTAAGTGGACCTTCAACTGGTGAGCCAAGGTTGCACAATGAAACTATATGTTTGAATACGTATAATGTATTATCTATCATTGATATGTGGCTTTTAATGAAGATATTTATTTTAGACATGAAAGTTGACTATTATTGTTGTTTGAACTTCTTTTCTTGTCACCTTTTTCCCATGGTGCTAATTATTTGGTTGCCATGGTAATTTTTCTATATTATATGCCTCTTTTACTCTGACTAAATTCAATGTACAGGTTGAGAAAAATGTTTTTCTGGTTTTCTTCTCTGGAGAAAGAGCAAAGAACAAAATTCTTAAAATATGTGAAGCTTTTGGTGCGAATCGCTATCCTTTTTCTGAGGACCTAAATAAACAAGCTCAAGCAATCAATGAGGTAGGGACTACACTGTGCTTGGACTATAGGTACCTTTCATTGGAAGGTTGCTCATAGTTTTATTCAAATATCTCTTCACTTATCATCCTTTCTTCTCCCATTACCCCTGCTCACAAAACCTAGTTTGCGATAAACTAAAATCTCGCTATTTGACTTTTAACCTTGTAATAAGGCATGCCAACTTCCCTATTAACCTTCTTGATAGTACCAATCTCGTTTTTAGTTGCATCTGTTTGTTTGGTGTGGCCCCTTTTGTCTCGCAGAAGTGTGACCTCATGAAGGTACAGGGTATTTTGGCCTTATGTTGGTCACTGAGTCAGGTGTTAATGCCCTGCGAATTTCATCTTTGATCTGCTCTTCTGAAAAATACTTACTAGTTGCATAAAATTTGAGCTCATTTGGAAAGAGGATAAAACACAATTGCTTGCCTATTTGACTGCCGCTGTGAACTTCATCTCTGAAATGATCGTCATTGTTTGCTTCTGCAAATATATATGTATATATTTTTTCTGAAAAGAAACAAAATTTCATGAGAAAAATCATGAAGTACAAGGATCACCAAGGAGGATGGGGACTCCAACTAAAGTGAAAAGAAAAAAACTACATCAGAAGATTCCAATGCCCTAATGAAATCGGACAAATTGAAGTTACAAAAATCTTTGTCCTCAAACAACGATATAGCAACCCAAAACTTCACTTGTTGCAACCATTATAGGTCTTTTAGGGTTCCTCTGTGACGAAATCACAATTATGAATTCCAGGTTTCAGCAAGACTCTCAGAGCTAAAGACTACTGTAGATGCTGGACTGCTGCATCGAGGCAATTTGTTACAGACAATTGCAGAGCAATTTGAGCGGTGGAACCTTTTGGTCTGTTAGTTGCTTTCCTATATATATGCCAATTCATTCACAAATTGAGTGTTTAGATACACTGCAACAATGTATATCTGTTTGACTTTAATGTTTTGGACTTGTGAAGGTGAGGAAGGAGAAATACATATATCACACTTTAAACATGCTTAGCCTTGATGTGACAAAAAAATGTCTTGTGGCAGAAGGTTGGAGTCCAGTTTTTGCAACCAAGCAGGTACTTTTCCTGTTTCCTGCCTCTTCCCGGTGCAGCAAATAAGCATTAACCTTGGTTTTTAGCTGTAACGGCACTAGTGAAATGTACTATCTGAGCTCTTATAGCTTGGATTTTATAAATGCAGATCCAGGATGCGTTACAGCGTGCAGCCATTGACTCCAACTCGCAAGTTGGAGCTATTTTTCAGGGTTTGCATACAAGAGAGTCACCACCTACATATTTTCGCACAAACAAGTTCACTTCTGCTTTTCAGGAAATTGTTGATGCATATGGGTCAGTTTTAATCCAAACTTGGCTATCTTTTGCTACTCTATTACGACTAAGGGCATGTACACTATATAACTACTCCGTATTGTATTGTTTACTAATAACACAATGTTTGGTGACATTTATACATTATATAATTTAATACGAGATTTAAAATTAATACAATACAAATTGTGATATCTAATATGGAATAAAATCTATGTACCAGACCATATTATGCAATTTAATTTAAAATACCATATTAAAAACATATTAAATATTTCATAAATATCAAGGCTTTGGGTTGGATTTTGGAACCGACATTGGGGTCGAGTTTCTAGACCGGAGTGATGTTGGGTTTATAATTTTTTTAAAATTACATTTTGATCCCTAAACTTTTTAAAAATTATATTTTGACCCCTAAACTTTTTACAAATTATGTTTTGACCCTCAGTTTTCAAAATTATATTTTGCCCCTTAATTTTTTAAAAATTACAATTTGACCCCATTTTTCAAATTTTTTTATAAAAAGACCCCTATGTAGCGACTCTACTTTCTCCCTTGCTTCCTCCCCTTAATTTTTTAAAAATTACAATTTGACCCCATTTTTCAAATTTTTTTTATAAAAAGACCCCTATGTAGCGACTCTACTTTCTCCCTTGCTTCCTCCAAATCTTGGATTCGGTTCGAGATTAGAGTCTAATTAGGTTATGATTAGGCCTAAATTTTATCTTATTACAAACTAATACGTAAATAGATTACAATAATAAAAATGGTATAATGTTTAATAATACCACCAACCAAATACCGTATTGTATAAAAATTATACAATGCAATACAATACTATACGATACGATACAATATAATATGGCGCACCAAACACGCCCTAATTGAGGAAAATAATAACTGTTGTGTTGAAGGAAACATGTGATTTGTCTTGGAACCGATACAACACTGACTTTCAGTCACAACATTATAATGACTTTCAGTTACAACAGTAGCCTGTGAAAACATATTTTTTGATCGGTGTCTGAAAACACATGGTACTATAAAGTATTTATGACTTGCTTATACCTTTGACATTAACAGGAGAATTAATTAAATCAATTTGAACCTCATATTGGGAAAGAGACCCTATATATGGTTTACTTTTTCTATTTGACTTTATTTCACTAACTTATGGTGATCTAGTGCTACACAACGATTTTACTTCTGTATGTTTATTACGTAAAGAAGATAATAAGCTCCTTTTTTTTTTCAAGGGTATCATGACTTGTATCAAGTGCTTTTGTGCTCTGTGGTCTCTTGTCCTATTTTCTTGTTTGTATTTCAAAAAGAAATTTGTAACTATTCATGTGAACGGCTAACATTTAAATCAAGGAACCAACTAGTTAATCAACTTAGTGATGTCAAAAGCAACTCTAGCATTAATGTAGATCTTTAACTATGAAAGCTAGCTTGATTCCTATTGCAAATGACCAGAAAGTAGAGACATGAGATCGAAAACTAAGCAATATTGACTCTATATGCAATCATAATTTACCACCTAAGCCAATGATTGAGTTTTTGAAAGACCGTGGAAAGTGCTAAGAAGCCATTAATGCCATAATTTTGGACCAAGATGCCGGAGAGCTGTGTTGCATCAAATGCATGGCAGCCTTTTTGTACACTTCATTAATTAAAATCACTTCTCTGCTCGCAACATGGTTATCGTTATTTATGTGCTCTTATGATCTTCAATGACTTACATATGCACACAAAAAAGTAGAAAGAAAATAAAATATTAGTATGTCTAAAGGATTATCTTTATATAGTGTTTGGTTTTATCTCTCTTTTTGAACTTTAATATTTCTTGTGTCAAGACTTAGAAAGGTCTCTTTTTGAACTCTAATATTTCTTGTGTCAAGACTTAGATGAGTCCTTTCTTGTTTTCACCCATGATTTTATTTCTAAGACACCTTGTGAACTACTACATTACCTAAAAAATGGCAGTTTATGTATATTAAATTTTGGTCTGTTGGTTTCTTCATTTGCCAAGTGACCATCATTTGACAGAAACATACAATTCTGGTTAAACATCATGGTTCAACGTTGTTGCAGGGTGGCAAAGTATCAAGAAGCAAATCCTGGTGTATATACTATTGTTACATTTCCGTTTCTATTTGCGGTCATGTTTGGTGATTGGGGGCATGGAATATGCTTGTTTCTTGCTACGCTATATTTTATAGTCAGGGAAAAGAAACTTTCTGTTGAGGTAATCTTTATGGCTTTGTCTAATTTCTCTTTAGTATCTGTATAAGGCAGCAAAACAATATTTTTAAGCCTGGAAATAATCTACCCTTCAGTTTTATGATATAACGTGCACATATCCCCAAATATGGGGAGAATCAGGGGAAAACCAGTTTGATAATTAATGTTACATTTACCGAATCGTACTACCCTAACTAGGCAATATGTGTTAAAACTTAAGTAGAGAAGGGCGTTTTTCTTGGTAGAAAATTGTTACCTTCTATCGTTTTCCATACACTATCTACATATCTTCTTGGTACCATTACTTTTTGGTGGAATCTCACTAAATATAATTCTGGGTTTACAGAAGCTTGGAGACATCACAGAGATGACCTTTGGTGGTCGTTATGTCATTTTGATGATGTCAATCTTCTCAATCTACACAGGTTTGATCTACAATGAGTTCTTCTCTGTTCCATTTGAACTGTTTGGCCGCTCAGCATATGCTTGCCGTGATATTTCTTGCAGGTATACAACTTAAAGGCTGAGAGTTGTTATGTTTGTTTTGTCTAAACTTTTGATTTTTTCTTTTTTCCTGCCCCCTTTTGTTGACGGTCTTTGCGTGCTTCGTTGTAGAGATGCTACTACAGAGGGTTTGGTCAAAGTGCGCTCCACATACCCATTTGGCCTTGACCCTGTATGGCATGGTACCCGCAGTGAGCTTCCATTTCTCAACTCTTTGAAGATGAAAATGTCCATTCTTCTTGGGGTGGCCCAAATGAATCTCGGAATCATATTGAGCTATTTCAATGCCAAGTACTTTGGCAATAATATAAACATCTGGTAAGCTGTGAACAACTGTCAAGTTTCTCCCCAACCTTCATAATGACCCTTGTATCTAAACAGTATATGTTCTATGAATTTACGAATTCCATCGGCAATTATTCATTGATTATTCGCTTCTGCTTCTGCTTCTGCTTCAATACCCGTTATGGTTATATTCAACTTATATAGCTGGAATATTACAGGTTCCAATTTCTTCCTCAGTTGATATTTCTAAACAGTCTGTTTGGCTATCTCTCCGTCCTCATTCTCGTGAAGTGGTGCACTGGTTCACAAGTTGACTTGTACCACGTAATGATATACATGTTCCTCGGTCCAACAGATGATCTGGGTGAAAATCAGCTCTTTGCTGGGCAGAAAACAGTACAGGTACTCTGATCATTTGCACACTTTTATAAATATGTTTTGAATCATATGTGAACAATACTTAACGTCCATTCTTTTTCTTGCTAGCTTGTGCTACTCTTTCTGGCTCTTATTTCTGTTCCATGGATGCTGCTTCCAAAGCCTTTTCTTTTGAAGAAGCAATGCGAAAATGTATGTTGAAGATTTTATTTTGGTTTTCACTTTTTCACCATGACATTTTCTCTTTTGATTACTTTCTTCATTCCCGATTTTTGTTTCTGCAGATGCACCAAGGCCAATCCTACACCTTAATTGAGGGCACTGAGGAGAGCTTGCAAGTCGAGTCGAACCATGATTCCCACAATCACGAAGAGTTTGATTTTAGTGAAGTTTTTGTACATCAACTAATTCACACCATAGAATTTGTTCTTGGAGCAGTCTCAAACACCGCTTCATACCTCCGTCTATGGGCGCTCAGGTTAGTTTCTTCTTGCATAAACACACACTTCAATACATCCACTAGTATGGATGCATTATTATATTTATGCAAAGTTACTGTTTATCTATATAACTTGAGGTTAATTGTGTATTTTCATTTTTCTTGTTTCAACTTTTCAGCCTTGCTCACTCAGAATTGTCCAGTGTCTTCTACGACAAGGTTCTGCTTCTTGCTTGGGGGTAAGTAAATCCAGCTCTCTTCTTACGTGCTCTAGCTCAATCAATTGAACAAGGCCGTGGGAATCTTTGCATCAGGTTCGTTGCCCTCTAGGAACTATTGATGAAAATGTTCTCTTCATATATTTTACAGGTACAACAATGTTATCATCCTTGTAGTGGGCATCATTGTCTTCATCTTCGCCACAATTGGTGTTTTGTTAGTGATGGAAACTCTTAGCGCGTTCCTACATGCCTTGCGACTTCACTGGGTCGAGTTCCAAAACAAGTTTTACGAGGGAGATGGTTACAAGTTCCATCCATTTTCATTTGCAGTTACCGATGATGATGACGATTGAGGCATCACATCGTCATAATTTAAGTAATGTGGTGAAGTTTGCGTGTGGATAGGTATGGTTTAAGTTGATTCTTTCATTTGTAATTGGACGCAAAGGAAATCGGGATTGTTGGATGCAACTTGCGGGGGGATATTCGGAGCTCTTTTCAGATCCCCATCTGTTTGTTTATTTGTTATCGAGAGGAATAAGCAGGTCTTGGGCCAAGATATGGTAGCTTTTGTGGCCGTATGTAATAATAAAAATGAATTATTCAACAAACTTTCTATTTATATCTCAACTAATAATTATAATTTTTATGTGAAAAATTGCCGTTGTATCGACTCTCCGTTTACTTGTAGCTGCTGAAGAAAATCATCCAGTGTAGTGTATTTATCCGTAGCCAGTGCAAAATTGATTATTGCCATATTGGCGTCTAAAATTCACTTTACTAGAATTGGAAATGGTATTATAACAAAATATTGTCTGTCACTTGAGGTTAATTTAAGTGGTTGGGTGCGTGTGCATGTTTATTATGGTTTGAATTTTGGTAGTTTTTTTCAAGTAAAGTAGAAGTTATAGGTCTCATATCGTAAAAGAATAAAATAAATAAGAGGAAAATATTCCGTGTCTGATCGATGTTCAAGATTCTGACTTGATTTTTTCTTCTAGATGCTGAGGTTACTACGAGTTTAATTGTAAAATATAAAATCTATCCATCTGCGCTTATTTGTGTTTTTTCAACGAGAATTTGCATTTATGGTTTTTTATTTACACATTCTTTGCGAAATCAGTCGTGCAAAATGACAAAATTACCTTTCATAAAAGAAATGGTTTTGCATGAGAAATTCCAGAGTGCAACAACTTCATCTTTAGAGCTTATTTAGTTGGAGGAAAAAAGGGAGAGGAATGAGGAGATTGCTGGTTCCCGAATCGAATTCGGGTGCGGAAGCGTGGTAGGAAAAACAGCGGATCGTGTATAACAAAAATTTTTATAAAACTTTTGACATACTCTATAGATTATATTAATTTATGCACGAATAAATTAATCACATTAATTTACATCATTCAAGGATCAACCAAAAAATACCTGGAAGCCGACACGGATGATAACTTGAATTTCTTTGACCACGAACAGTCCTTGCTCCAAGCTTTGTGTTTAGAATACCAAAGTCTTCCACGTCAATTCCTTGATTCCACGTAGACGTGTGTGTGGCACACGTGAGACAAAATAGGTTTCTTAAACACTCGAATTTCCACAAACACCAACGCATGCACGATGTGGAATTTTTAGAGAAAAATATTTTGTTCTCTTTTTCCTCTATGAGAATTTCAGCCACACTCAATTAGGGCTGAATAATGTGTCAAAAAATTGTCTCTA